TGTATTTGTGTATTTGTTGTGTTTGTGTGTGTTATTTGTGTGTTTTTGCTGTATTTGTGTATTTGTTGTGTTTGTGTGTGTTACTTTTGTGTATGTGTGTTTTTGCTGTATTTGTGTATTTGTTGTATTTGTGTGTGTTATTTGTGTGTTTTTGCTGTATTTGTTGTGTTTGTGTGTGTTATTTGTGTGTTTTTGCTGTATTTGTGTATTTGTTGTATTTGTGTGTGGTATTTGTGTGTATGTGTGTTTTTGCTGTATTTGTGTGTTTGTTGTGTTTGTGTGTGGTATTTGTGTGTTTTTGCTGTATTTGTGTATTTGTTGTGTTTGTGTGTGTTATTTTTGTGTATGTGTGTTTTTGCTGTATTTGTGTGTTTGTTGCTGATGTTCTGTTGTTTCATTACAATTATTTTTTATTTATTTTATTTAAATTAGAAACAAACCTACTTTACGTGTCAATCCCAGTTCCCTCTCCCTCCCCTTCTACCCCACCCCACCAGCCCCCCCAACCTAACCCCCCACCCAATCCCCACTCCAACTCTGCAGGGAGAGTGAGGCCCTTCATGGGGGATCGCCAGAGTCTGTCATATCATCGGGGCAGGCTGAGAGAGCATCCCTCCATGTGGAATGGGCTCCCAAAGTCCATTTGTATGCCAGGGATAAATACTGATCTACTACCCAAGGTCCCATAGATTGCTGAGGCCTCCTCACTGACAACCACATTCAGGAGGTCTGGATCAGTCCCATGCTGGCCTCTCAGCCATCAGTCTGGGGTCCATGAGCTCCCCCTTGTTCCGGTCAGCTGTTTCTTTGACCCCTTTGCTCATCACTCCTCCCTCTCTGCAACAAGGTTCCAGGAGTTCAGTTCAGTGTTTAGCTGTGGGTGTCTTATGGGTATATGTGCGCATGCCTTGACATGTGTGGAAGTCGGAGGACAACTTGTGGTCCTCACGTCTCTCCCTCCACCATGTGGGCCCCAGGGCTGAACTCGGGTCATCAGGCTTGGCGGAAAGGCCTTTTACCCAGCGTGCCGGTTCACCCGTCCTTCTTTGCTGTTGTTTGTTCATTTAGGTCTCATTGAGCCCAGGCAATGGCAGGAACTGATGTGGCCACGCGCCAGGGTCATTTGTTGAATGGCGTGTCATTTAGAAAGAGTCCCCTGGAAAAGGCGCTCATTCTCCTGCTTCTCAGGCATTCCGTGCCGGCGAATACAGACTTGCTTGGTTGCAGGTTTCCCTTCACAGAGCTAACTCCTGGCTTGTTCAGTGCTTCTCACTGAATCCAACCGTCTGTGGCTATGCAACCCCACTAGAAGATACACAGAGTTTTAATTCTTTAAAGAGAAACGTAAATCATAGGCTAAAAATCTGTCTCCAATATAACTTGATAATCTTTAAAAGGCCCTGATTGAACCAGCTTTATTTTTTAATTGTCATTCTTTGCCCTTTGCCTGGAGAAGCCACACACTGCTTTCCAGGGACTAGCACAGTAGAAAGGGCCTTTTCTATAGTGATTTCCTGATGTGTCATTTGAGAAATCACAAAGTATGGCAGTAGCAATGGCATCCTGCTCTGCTGCTTACATATAGACCAACTAAAGAACCGTGTAGAAGGGGCCAGAGGCCCAGAGCCTGGGCTAGGAACTATGGAGATGGTGTCTACCATTGCACACATCTGTGCTTTTCATCAAAAAACACCATTTTGAGACAACCCCATCGAGTCTGATTGCGTCAGTGGTCACATGATGCAGTCTTAGGAGGGGGATTCTTCTTTGAATTTTTCTAGGGTACAGTAGAGGTGGTTGGGTTTAAGTATGGTCATTAAAAGTCTCAATTTTTATTTCCCAAAATGCTCATTCTAAAGAATAAAGTGGCACTTTAATTAAAGGATTGTAACTGTCTAAGAGTACCCCAGGTCTTAGACTTAAGTGGCTAGCTGGACAAGGTTTAGAAAGCCATGGAGTCCTCCTGGGCTTCTGGCAGCCGCCCAGATCCCGGCCCAGATGCAGAGCAGCTGTCTTCTTTGAGAGGACCTCTTCTGACCCACATAGCACTTGGCTCTGCCATCTCAGAACCCTTCCCCCAGGGGTGGGGAGAGCAGGTTGCCATGGTGATGGCATCATGTAGGTCACACACATGTAAGACTAGGACTCTAGAAATAGCCACTTTGCCCTTTAAACCACTTGTTGGGGAGAAAGCCCCCAGGATGTTTCAGGCTATGCCAGGCAGGATGACCCCTTTCCCACCTCCAATTCTAATGAAGTCACTCATCTGCTTGATGTCTTGTCACCAGCGACTTAACCCTCATCACAGTCTCTTCCAAAACGTGTTGAGGACTGGGTCATTCTTGAAAGATGACATCCCATTCTGCAAGTGATGCTGTCACCTAAGCCACAGCTGCAGTGGCCCTGCTGCCTTTCCCCAGCATTGCTTTTGGCCACAATGGATTCGTGTTCAGAGAGGTCCGGATCACGGAGACAGTGCAGCCAGGACAGTGGCACTCCTGCAGGCCTGGGGGCATGCACTCCAGGTTTCAGCCTCTATTGCTCCACACACCGTGGGACTCTGAGATTTTTTTCTCATCAGTTCTTCACTAGCTGAATGAAGAGACATATGCATGCCCTTCACAATTGCCCAGAGGATACGAGTAAACATGAGGAAAGCCACCGCCCCACAAAAGATTTGTAACTTCTTTTGGCCATTTCAGTGTGTGTGTGTGTGTGTGTGTGTGTGTGTGTGTGATTTACTTCCCTTTAGTGTGGCTCAGTGGTAGAGTCTTGCAAGGCCCAGGTTTAATTCCTACCATTCCTACCAGTGTATATGCCTTTAATCCCAGCTTTGGAAGGCCGAGGCAGGAGGAGTTCAAGGCCAGCCTATGCTATACAGCAAGTTGCAAGCCAGCTTGTGTTATATGAGACCCTGTCTCAAAAAAAAGGTGGAGGTTTGGAGGTTTGTCTAAGGAGAAAAGAGAGCCTACCACCAGATCTGATGATCTCGGTTCCATCTCTAAGACCCACGTGGTAGAAGAGGAGAGTTAATACCTGCAAGTTGTCCTCTGACTTCCATCCATGAGCCACGGAGCATGCTTGACTCCACACACTCTCGCTAATTAATGAGTAAATAAACAAATGTAATTTTTAAAAATTGACTTCTAACAAAACCAAAATCTAAAAATTAAATAAAGTCCCAGACAGGCTAATCCTGTACCCCAGCAAATACCTTTTGAAATGAGGTCATCCTCATACTTGATGCTTAGAGTCAATAGTTAAAACCACAGAAACGGGGTGGAGGTTGAGGGGCTTGGGACTATAACTCAGTGGATAATATGCTTGTTGCTCGTGGCAACCCACCTGTAACCCCAGCGCTCCAGAGGAGGCGGCCATGGGGATCCACTGAGCAAGCTGGTGAATTAGACTAGCCTGGTCATTGAGCTCTAGACTCAGCAAGAGACCCTGACTTACTCAAGGAGAGGATAACTGAGAAAGCCAGCTAGTGTCAGCCTCTGGCCTCTGTATGTAGGTGACACCTGTGTACTCACACGGACGTGAACATGCACGCCACACACGACACAAACAGAGATTACTAGCTGAGAGACTAGGAAACAGAAGATACTTGAGCCAAATGATAATAACTCCAAAGACAGCAGCTGTCCTTTATAGGGACCCTTCCCTTCCTTCCTTTATTTTTAAACCCTTAATACCAGGGAAAACAGACAAACCAGGGCTGCCCACCTCTTTTAACTGTTTCTAGTGCATCAGTGAACATATCTGTGGCCTGACAACACCCACCCATGACAGGACTCAGGCATGGCTCACTCTGTATCTGGGTTAAGCAGAGTCGGGGGGGATGAGACTGATCCCCTAATCCCAGGTAGAGAGGTTCAAGGTGCCCAGGCCATCACAAGGACAGAAAGGTTTTCTACAACCTCACAACGTACACCCTGCAGAGCAAGGATCTGGGGGTCTTAGATACCATCCCAAGCCTCTGCAAGCCAAGGCTGACCCAATGTCAGTGGGCTTGGCTGGAAGCAGGTTAGGAATGCGACAGTACCTACCCCACAGGAGTCTTCAGTCACACCCAGGAGGAGGGGAATGGGAAATGCAGGGAGTCGGGTGTCCTTATACAATATGAATGGGGTAATGGAATACTGCACTTACCCCCCACGGATCCTACTCCTGGTCTTTCCTGGCTTGGGGGAACCTCAGGCTCGGCTGCTGGGACATCGCTGAAGGGCTGTGGGAAGCCCTGCCCCCTTCCCTCAACCCCACTGACTGCAAGGCCCTTTGCCTGGGTACAACACACGGCCATAAGACACCAGAGGAAGAGGTAGGAACTATGGGGTCTGCCATGCGTTCTAGGGACTAGGTAAGAGGTGGCGGTCTGGAGTAGGAAGGCATAGGCAGGAGGGCACCGGATAAGAGAAAGACCCTTTGCACTGGGAACTGAGGAGACTCTCCCGGCACAGAGAATAGAGAAGGCAAAGCAGGCTCTGTGTACCGCCGCCACCTGAGACCTGAAAAGCTGGCTTCCATGGCTCCCGTCTCATCTTCAGCCTCGGCCTGTCCCTCCGAGTCACCCAGACCTATGTACCTGTTCTGATGCTGTCTCTGGGCATCTGGCCTCTTTTCCGGTTAGCTCTAGTTGTGGGGAGGGAAGATGTATGGACAGGAAGACTGCTTAGGGGCCTTGCCGATCTCAGAGCTCTGAGAAGACTGGGCCAAGGTCAGGCTGGGAAGCTCAAGACCCAGCCACACTCCTGGCCGCTTCCCTGGTCAGCTGGGATCCCCACCTGCTCCTCATTAACCCGAAGGTGCCAGGGAGGAAGTGGCCTATGTCCTTCGGGGCTCATGGCCCCTAATTTGGAAGGTATCTTGGGAGAGGTCAATTAGGCCCGGGGCCTCCACCCCCTTTGCTCCGAGTTCCCCCGGGGACTGCCTCTTGTGTGTTTGTGCTTTCCTGCATGCGGCTAGCCCCCCTCTCACTCTGGGGGTTCCCACTTTTACAGAGCGGGAAGGAGTGTGTTCTCGGCCATGAAACTTGGCAAGACTCGGTCCCACAAAGAGGAGCCCCAAAGACAAGGTAGGCAACGTGGTCCTGCCCATCATTCATACAGATCCATCAACCACTTTGAACCAACCGTAACCATCCTTTAAACCCGCCCTAGACAGGTCTCAAAGGGCCCTCCTTCCCCACCTCCCATTGGCCACGCCCACAGCCGCTTGGGCAGGGCTTGGACTCCCATTGGCTGGCCTGGGAAAAGGCAGTCTAAGACCTCGAGCCTCTGTCAGGTGGATAGGTTTTCCCCTTCATTGAGTGTTTAACTTCACATGAGCCGAGAGACCTTTTTAATTAGAAGAGAGAATAGCAAGAAGGCCTGTTAGGCTGCACCTGGCAGCTGCGAGCAGGCTTGTCTCTAGAGAGAGGCCCCTGGGCCTGCGGGGCTGGAGTGACCTTCCATGCCTGGCCCCTCCTAAGAAAGGAGGCTGAAAGGGTATCTGACAGCTGTTTGAGAGGCAGCAAAGACAGGTGGAAGACTCGGGGGTCCGTGCGGTGGAGAGGGGAGCTATGTGTGGCCAGCATCGGGCTTTCCTATGTGGCCCACTGGCCCTAGAACTCTCTTCCCTGACCAGTTTTGGTTGCACCCTTCTCAGATAAAGGGTACAGCTTCCTGCCGAAACCCAAACATACCATGTCTGGGTGACTTTTCCAAATCATAACTTCGTTCCACTGGATTCACATATAGGCTTGCTGGCCTGACGCCTGGTCTCTCTGTTGACAGTAGCCATTGTCATGAGATGGACGTAGTAAGTTCAGGGCATTTCCTACTTTCTTCCACAAAGGATACTCGGAGCTTTAGAAAATGGACTTGAATAAAAGAATTACACCTGGATAAGATTACAGAAGAAAGGAAGACTAGACATAATGGCGATTAAGGCATTTTAAGGACTAATGTTAGAGCTGGGCATAGCCATGCACATCTTTAATTCCAAGACTCGGGAGGCAAAGGCATCTGGGTCTCTGTGAGTTTGAAATTAACCTGGTCTACACAAAAGCCCAAGCCAGCCTGGGCTACATAGTGAGACTCTGTTATGAATTAATCAATCAGTCAGCAAGAGATGTACGTGTGGCAGCATCCTAAGCAAGGGAAATTTGACTCTCCTTCCGAGGAGACTATCCCTGGCCCTGCATTCGCCCGCTTACCCTTCATCCCTTCTTCCCCAGATGAGCCAGCAGTGCTGGAGATGGAGGACCTGGATCACCTGGCCATCCGGCTGGGGGATGGGCTGGATCCTGACTCAGTGTCTCTAGCCTCCGTCACCGCTCTCACCAGCAATGTCTCTAACAAGCGGTGAGTGGCCTGCAGCCCACCTGCCGCAGCCTTGTTGGGTAGGGCCAACTGGCCGACTTGAGAGTTGGGGGCAGAGAAATCAGGGCCCATGAACAGCTTTCCCAAAGCCCTTTTCACTGTCCTTGGGTGGCCTCTCACCTGTCTCCCTATAGAGGCAGCGTCCTTGAGCCCCCATGGGTGCAGGGAAAGCACAGAGCTGACCAGGCCACATGTGACTCTGTTCAGCCAATGGCCACCTCTCTATTACTTCTGTCTGCTTAGTCCTCTCTGTTGGTGCTGCTGAGGACATCCACCCCTGCCCCAAATTCTCTTGGCACATTGAGTATCTGAAGACCACAGTTCTGTGGCTCTGGCTTCTCCGTCCCTCGCACAGTCCCTGACAGTACATTCTCCTCCTCAGGTCTAAGCCAGACATTAAGATGGAGCCAAGTGCTGGAAGACCCATGGATTACCAGGTAGGTGGGTACCCGGATGTCTGCATCTTACAGATCGGGCTAGAGTGCGGTGTTCCTGCCAGGTGAGACCCAGGGGGTCACAGAGGGCCAGAGGCTTGAATCTCGCGGTTGACTTCTGCCTGGCTTTCCTAGAAATACCAAGGCAGGTGCAAACCTAAGAAGAGTTTGAGATCTCTGTTCCGCTCATCGCTCCTGGAAGATTCTGTGTCCATTGTTGGAAATTCTAAGGAAAAGGGAACCTGGAAAACACACACACGCATACACACACACATACACACACACACACACACACACACAAACACACACACACACACAGACACACTCAGACAGTTCAGGGATGAGTTTTTGAAGAATGGTGAGTGTGTTTTTAAGTTGTTCCAGCTTCTTTTAATGCTGGAAGTAACATCAATCCTATTATCTCCAGACAGTATATATAGGAGTGATTTTCCCTTCTGTGTCTCTGTACTTTCTTAGATTAGTAGTTATTTGCTTCTGAAACTAAACTTTGAAAGGTCTGACTGGGGGGGGGTTGGGTGTAGCGCAGGCAGAACAGGGGCTGAGTGTCACTGCTGGGGGTGGGGGCAGGACAGGAGGCTGCTGTCATGGGCCTCAGTAGCAGGACAGGAGGCTGCTGACCCAGGCCTCAGTAGCAGGACAGGAGGCTGCTGTCACGGGCCTCAGTAGCAGGACAGGAGGCTGCTGACCCAGGCCTCAGTAGCAGGACAGGAGGCTGCTGTCACGGGCCTCAGTAGCAGGACAGGAGGCTGCTGACACGGGCCTCAGTAGCCTCCACTTTGCAGGTCCAGCCCCTCAGCTTGTCTTTTCTCCCAGCCTGAGGTACAGAGCTGGATAGAATGGCTCGCCTGCCAGACAGAATGGTGTATAAACCAGAAACACCTAGCCCTTACGTAGAAAGTGAGAAGAAAGACGAGAGAAAGCGCCTCTCAAGACAGGCCCAGGGGCCTGCCCTGGCTCCAGACTCTCCTCTGAGAGTTAACAGTACCCAGTCATAGGTCAGAAACAGATATGAGTGCAACTTTATGTTCGATGCCCATCTCCCAAGCCCTGTGCACATTATCCTTATGTATGGACAACCCACCTCACTTCCTCGGGTATGATATAAAGGGCTAGGTGGCACCGCCTACTTTGCAATGCCTGGTTATGTTTCCCAAGGATTCACCTGAACTCCTTTAATGCTTGCCTTGGCTTGTTTCCATCCAGTACCCATTTTCCCTGGTGTTTAAAAAGTAACCCCAAGTGGTGTCATGTGGTGCCACCCTCAAATTTTAGACAACCTCAAGCCTTTAGAGTCCCTTGGAGGTTTGGGAATGTTGCCCCCTGACCTATCAAAACCCAAACGCAATGTCCTAAGGCATTGGGGGATTTCTCTGGGAGACTGAAACCTGAGGGACTGCTTCTGTGTGCTGAGACCAGGGAACTCCCAGAGACCCCCATGCAGATACCATGCCACTGGCCTGCTGTGCAAAAGCATGTGAAATCATTGTGAATGCAATTTATTATTTTAAAGACTTATCAAACCAGGCACCATGCTAAGAGCTGAATATGCGTTTCCATTGAGATGATGTCATTCTTACAGCCCTGTGAATGTAATTGTTAGTGTATCGTTTACAGCAAGAACTGAAACCAAGAAAGTTAGGGGCCCCTGGGTCTCAGGCAAATCGAGGCCGGAGCCAGGTTGGGAGTCACAGCAGTCAAAGCCCTTGTTCTCTGCAGTGGAGGCTTCTGGAGAGTGTTTCTGGTCCCTCACAGCTCAACACTCACTTCTTCCTCCCAAACTGCTTCTTGCCAGGGACTTTGACATCCCAAGCCGGACAGTTTTCCCTCCCAAGTCTTTTACACTTGCTGAATTGAACCAGTTACCCCATTTCACCTGGCAGCACTGTGTCCCCCGACCGGTCCATCCACAGCTCACCTGCATGTGTTTATCACTGTGCGAGAGGGAGCGAGGAGAATTCAAATGCAAACTGTCCTTACTTCCGATAAATACCATGTACCAACCACATTAAAAAAAAATGGCGTCTCAGCCAGGCAGTGGTGGCACACGCCTTTAATCCCAGCACTCAGGAGGCAGAGGCAGGCAGATCTCTGTGAGTTCGAGGCCGGGCTGGACCAACAGCCTCCAAAACAATACAGAGAAACCCTGTCTTGTAAAAACAAAAAACAAAAACAAAAACAAAAAAACAAAAAAAAAAAAGATGTCTCTCCTTTGGGGAACTGGGCTGTAATCAATCAGAAAGGCCTCAAAGAGCCCATAGCACTAGACAGACCTGGCAGAACTCAGGTCCAGGTGGGATCCTGAGAGTCAGGACCATTGTGAAGGTCAGATACCAACGGAAGGAGGTCTGTGGGATGAGACTCCAGTGTGCTGTATACTGTGGACAATTTGGAACAGGTGGAATATTAAAATTCTTTCCTATTAGTGTCTGAAAGGGGACAAACCACTGCCACCTCCCTGGGAATATGCCCTTTGCAGAGCGGGCAGCTGTCCTTATAGCATAGATGCTCATGAGCATACAGTCTGTCCCCTGGTCTCTGGCCCTGGCACTGAGGCTTACCATGTCACCTCCAAACAGTTCTCCAGTTTCCAGCATCTCTCCATCTCCCAGGCCAGCCCCCAGCCCCTGCTGTACTCCGCAGCCCTTCCCCGGGGCCCCCATGTCTTATATTGCCCCATCCACTCCAGCCTCCCTGTCTCCACTAGAGTGATCTGCCTCTCTGGTCATGTCCTACCTCTGCTCTGGAGACATGGGGACACAAAGAATGCTGGGTGTGGGTAGGTGAGTGGGTGTCCCTGTCCCCTCCTCCTTCAGCTTGCCCTGACATTCTTGATGCCTGCGTGAACAGAGGTCCCCAAAGCAGGTCACAAGGCACCGCTACTCTTGGGGCCCTGCAGGACATTTGAGTAGACATTTTTTTAGCCAGTATTGCTCCCTGAGGTTGCTTTAGTGAGGGAATTCTAACCCTTACCTCGACAGGACGTGGAGGGATAGCCAAAGGTGCCAGCTGGTAACCTGGTCCCAGCAGCAGCTCCCTTTGCCCTCTGGTTTTTCCTTCTGGAAAAGCTGAGTGAAACAGAAGTTTCTTTGCTTCCCTGCAGTGTCTTCCCATTCTCATTGTGGTCGGGTTTTCTCAACCTTCTGATGACTGGGTGGCCTGTCCCTTCCTGACAAATACAGACGATGACCACATTGTTACTCTTAATTGCCAAATGTTCGACACACGATTGGAGCAGGGATTGGGGAGGCTATGGGAGTGGGTACCAGACTCCTCATCTCTATCTCACACTCCCAGGCTTCCCCTGGGACCACCCTCATCCAGGAATCTATTCACTCCTTTCAACCATCTGCTCTCCTCCCCACCTTACCCCCTCTCCCCCCCCCAGCCCCCCGCCATGTTGACTGTGACCTTCTGACCCAGGGACCACACAGAGGAGGGGACAAAAGATGGGATGCACACATGAAAACCAACCACTCTCCTGGCATGGGCCAGCTAATCTCAGCTTGTACATCTGACCAAAACGTCTGTTCCTAGCCCTGAGTTACAGAAAACCTGTTTTTCCAAGGGCTGGGGGGGGGGGCAGTGCTAGTTGTAGATTAATAGAATTTCTAAACCTTCTGCATAAAAAAGGTTTCTGGAAGCTGAAACTCTATGCACCGCTGTGCAAAGAATATTCCAGAAGGACTCCTAGTTTCGCTTCACCGTCAACTTCTTGGAGCTAAGTTAATTAGCCTTGTTTCCGTTTTGGTTCCCTGAAGAAATGTTGACTATTGCGACTCCTTCAAGCGTGGATCCTCAGCGTTCGAACCTCAGCCCCTCTGGCCTCTCAAGCCCCAGAATAGAAGCGGCCGCTCCTGCCTTTCTGTGCTTTCTTGGCAGTGGTCTTATTGCTGTTAGGGTTTCTATTTCCCTAGCATCACTTCTGATGTGTGGATTTTTCTTGGTCTTCGAGCTATTTATAAGACCTTGAAGAACACAGTGGCTGATAATTTTAGCAAGGATTCTTTTTATCTAAAAATGGAAAGCAGTTCTCCTGAGTAAAATCATATTTAGAAGTTGCATCAAAAGCATAACAAACTGAAGTGCCAGAGACCCAGATGAGCGACACAAACAGCCTCTCTTGCAGCCAAATTAGCTAGCGGGGAATGCTGACAGCAGACAGGAGGCTTTGGGTTAAAACGCAAGTTCAAGCCTCCTGTGGAGCAATCTGAAGCATCCGACTACCACGACCCACTCGAGAGAGGGCCGCTACTAGAGGGAGGCCACTCACTCCTGGGGCTCCCAGCTCTTGCAGTATTCAGTATTGTGTTGCTTTGGGGTACTCATCATCTCATTCAATCCTCGCCAGCGAGGGTCTCAGCTGAGAATATGCAGTTCAGTGAGCCCACGGGGTCCTCTGCATCTATTCCTGGCCGTATGTCAGGTTGAGACTGGGTGCCAAGACCAGCAACCTAAAATCTGTACCTGTTTGGATTTTGCCATGGCAACCCTAGTGGGGACTGACCACACCAAATCCAAGGCATGAGCTACTGGCTTGAAATGAAGACTCTGGAAAAAGAGCAGTTGCATCAAAAATCACATTCCTCCCTCTCTCCCCCTTCTCCCCTTCCTTCTTCCCTTTCCTATCCTTCTCTCTTTCCCAATATATACATAAAATCATATTTTTCAGTTTTATATTACATATAAGTACATCTTTTCACATATATGTATCTTTATATACATCCTTTGGGTATGCTTATCTTTATATGTATGTGCATATAAAGATATAATGTATCTCTTATGATACTCTAAGCTAAAATATGTATGTGTTAGTTTAAAACCCATCAGCCAGTACTCCTTTATGGTAAGATCACTGAAGAGTAGGAGTTTATTCCAACCTCACTTTTGCCTGGTCCCAGAAGGTGTCCTCTAAATATTTATTGACAGAACAGACAACCAAAACAGTGTTTCAGAAGATCCCAGGGAGCTAGAGGCTGTGGAAGGGCACAGCAGAATGCATACAACATACTCTAACCAAGCCAGAAAGTGAGGCTCCAGCCAGTCAAGGAAATTCAACCAAGGGAGAGGGGACGGGACATTGGGAAGGACCCAGCTTTAGGAAGCCAAGGGTATGTCAGGGGCCTGCAGCATAAACAAGAAACCCTGGACAGCACCCAAAGCAAGTTCACGGAGACTTGAGCAGCTTGGCCTGTTTCTGAGGGTGAGGCAGGCTTGGTGGCCCTCCCCCAGCAGAGTCACAGAACTAGGGAGAACTTAGAGACCAGGAGTAGAACTTTCAGGAGGTACAACTTTTCAACACTGTGACACAATATTGTCAGCTCCTAAGTTTATAAAGAAACAATCAAGTTATAAAAGAGCTTATAATGTTTAAGTTTACTATTTACATTACCCCTTGTTCATGGCTGTCTGTGGTTGCCTGTGGTGGGCTGGGCATGCCTGACTGGCTTTAGGAAAACTGATGCTGGACCTTTCTTCCACCAATCAGGAGGCTGGCCTGGCACCAGGATTTGTGCAGTTCTGTAACACCGCTCTAGAGGCCACCAGCCTGGAAACCTCTCACAGTACAGACATCCTAGGATCACCCAGCAAATGAGGGGCCATAGTCAACACGGATCCTGGGGTCTGACTCCAAGCTGGACTGGCTCCTGAAATTCGTAGTCCTGCTGCCTGATCCACGCTCTGGGAAGACTAGACTCTAAGATGGCGACCATGCTTCATATAGCCCCCTCTCTCCTTCCCACAGGTCAGCATCACAGTGATCGAGGCTCGGCAGCTGGTGGGCTTGAACATGGACCCTGTGGTGTGTGTGGAGGTGGGCGATGACAAAAAATACACGTCTATGAAGGAGTCCACAAACTGCCCTTACTACAACGAGGTCAGTGTCCCCTGTGGCCTCAAGGCGGGAAAGGGTCCTACTGACACGGGAACAGGGGCAGCTGGGAGTTGGAAGCACAGAGCCACCAGCCCCAAGGTCTTAGCCCACACTCTTACAACCCAGCACACGGGCATGCAGTGCCACACCCTCTGTACCCTCCAGTGTGCACCCCTACAAGCCAACCATGCCTTCCTGAGGGTAGGGCAGCTCCACCACCCTAGCCTGGGTACCGCTGACACCATCAATGAGCCCTTCCAGGCACCAAGTCCCTCCTACATCCAGAGGTGTACCAATACCCATCATAGATAGATACTGTTACACATTCAGGGACATTGAGACTCCTGGGTCTCACTGGTCAGGTCAGGGGTACCTGCCCTTTCTACTAGGCTGCCTTCTTGGTCCCCTGTGCCCCTAAGAGGCCTCCCTCTAGGACACAGTCTCGACTTCGGCTGTTTCCTCCGCTTGAGACCACATGAGGTGGGGAGGTGGAGCTACCTCAGAGCCTTAACAGTCTGATGTCCCCATCTTACAGAGGAGATAACTGAGGCCTCAGGTCAGGAAGAGCCCTCCCACCTCCCCCAGGGAACTGTTGATGGGATAAGGCCCACTTGACTGCTGGACTCCAGAAGGGACCCCATCAAGATTGGATTTGGAGAAGCTGGACAGGCCTTCTTCCCCTGGTGCCTGAGCACATTTCAAGTGTCTAGAAGCCTGGGTGTCCCAGGTTCCCTGTCCTAGAGGGGACACTTGGTCTGTCTACCCCAGTGGCTTCAGATAGCAAGGCTAGCTCAATTGATGCAACTGCATCCTACGCCGTGCAGTGGGGGAGGGGGAAGCTGAGGGTGTCCTTGGGCAGCTGTGGGGCCTCTAGCTGTGCAGTGCAGGACCCAGCAACACTTCTGCATTTCAGCTCAAGCTTGACCAAACTCTTGTGTGACCACGGGTTGCAATGTTCCGAGCTGGTGTCCCACTGCCCTCCCAGGGCAGGGCGTCACTGCTCAAGGGCCCTCAAGCCCTGGGTGGAATCGGGATATCCAAGCTGGGCATCTCTGATCTCATACCAGGAGGCATTCCTGACTGGAAAGCCTCCACTCTCAATGAGAGTCCCCTTTCCTGTGGCGACTATGGAGACCAGTCCCAGTAATTCTCGGGTTATTTGACAGTGGTGGAGCCATGTTTGACTGACTTGGAAGTTCATCTTGCATCAGGCCCAGCTACCTCACGTTCAGAAGACTTGCTTACTCCTTCCGACATAGCTTCCCAGCTCTGTGGACCCCTAGCAAACTCCTATTGTCTCTGCAGGGACCCAGCTCAAGGGTCACTTGTCTCTTTTGTCTAAACTAGGGTTTCTTAAAACTCCAGACTTTTGGATACTTTGGAGTGGAAAATTCTGCATTGACCCGGGTACTAAGGCTACAAAGTGCCAATAGCAAGCCTCCTAGCTGTAGCAACTAAATAATCCCAGGTGTTGGCAAATGTCCCATGGGAATTAAACTCACCCCCAGCTAAGCCCACCACTCTACACTATGTTGCCTTAATTCTTTGCAGTCCCAAGAATGGTCTCTTTTCCTTCTTTTCTTCTTCAGTGAAAAATACTATCGTAGGTTTCTATTGCTGACCATGACCAAGACATATAGCACCTCTTATAAAGAAAACATTTCATTTGGGCTGGCTTAAGGTTCAGAGGCTCAGTCCATTATCATCTTGGCGGGAAGCATGGTGGCCTGCAGGCAGACATGGCGCTGGAGAAGGAGCTGAGAGTTCTGCATCTGGATCAACAGGCAGAAGGAAGAGAGGGTGACACTGGGCCTGGCTTGGGCTTCTGAAACCCCAAAGCCCACCCACAGTGACACATGCCTCCAACAAGGTCACACCCTACTCCAATAATGCCCTAATTCTTTCAAATAATGCCACTCCCTGTGAACCAATGGGGGCCATCCCATTCAAGTCACCACAAACACCCTTCTAGCTGTGGGGATGCATTGCTTCTGGAAGGTTCTCTAGGAAGCAGGAATCTTCCTTTGGGTCCACTCGAACAGTAGAGGCTGGTAGGAACCCTCAGCTGACTTAGCAGATCTCTAAGCAGTCCCAAGAAAGAATCAATGTTCAGGAAATACAAGGATTGTGACTCCAGCCAGCTCAGAGCACGTGGGGTCTGGCTCCAGCTTATCCAGCTCCTTCTATGGGCCTGGTGCGGTTCTTACAGCCTGGCCTGTAGCTCATCAGCACAGCTGTAAGCCTGCCTGGGAAGGGGAGGCTCCTGAGTCTTGTCCCCCCACAGCCTGGCCACACATAGACCAACACAAAGGCCCTTCTCTGTGCGCACATGTGGCCCACCTGGCCAGCCTGTGACCACTGCCCCTCCCCGCACCCAATCTCCACTTTCACCTTTGCCATCGACTGTCCTGTTTCTTCAACCAAAGGACCCAGCATTGTACGGAGACCCTGATCTGTCTTTGCCGTTCTCGTGGCTCTTCCCTTCTCCCTTGCCCGTGTGGCACTTTACAGCAGAATACCGTAAACACCCCCAGGACACCTCATGGATACCCAAGGACAGGAACCTGGAGTCTCTCACCCACCACCCAAACAAATGGCTCTTCTCCTCTTCCAGCCGGGTCTCCAGCCATCTCCAGCTAACTCCCACACTCACAGTAGATGTGTGAGCTGTGCCACCCTCTCACTTTTTGTCACATTCTTCATCTCGTTCCTCCTTCCCCGGAGCTCTCAGGACACTCTCCTGCTTCATGGTTCCTCCAGAACCTTCCTCCTAGCTTCCTAACTTGCATGGCTTTCTCATCCCACTAGTCTGCTGCTTCCTAGAGCCCCGAGCCCCGCCCCGAGACCCGCCCCGAGCCCCGCCCCGAGACCCGCCCCGAGCCCCGCCCCGAGCCCCGCCCCGAGCAGGCTTCTCCTCTTGGGCTTCTCTCGGGTGCCCCTCCATTCCCACAGCTCTGTCACCATCCTCACCGCTGCTGGTTCATTCCCAAACCCAGACTCCAGAGCTGCAGACCCCTCACCCCAGCCAGCACCCCAAGACTTACCAACCATACACACCAGTTTATTGTGTCCTTACCAAGTGCACAACCGAGTTCTGTCATTTTGACTTTACAACCACATCTCCCTGCTTCTGTTCAGTCATGCCCCTGGAGTACGATGGCATGGTGGCCTAACATCATTATCCCCATAGCATAAGGGTAAACTGAGACTCAGAAAAGGAAGTGACGGGATCCAATAATAATAACAGCTAAATGTCTCTGGCTTTATTGACCACATTTCTACTCACAATGATTAAGTGTTAGCTGTAAAATAGGGTGTGAACATCAATTACCTTGTCACAGAGTCAGCAGGCTGTTGACTAGGACTTTTGACGACAGCGAGAAATACCTGCTCTCGGGACATGTGCTCTATCCAAAGCCCTCTGGTAGCAGTGCCCTCTTTGCCCCGCCTACAAGTCCATCGAAGCAGTAGTCACTGTGCCCACTGCCTACACCCTAACCTCGTCCCAGTACACCCAGGACAAAGGATGGAGACTGAGCATAGAGGCTCACAGCAGAAGAGAACAGCTCACACAGCAGTATTTCTCTGTTGTGGCTAAGGAGGTGTCGTCTTAGCGCGAGTGTGTCATTCTGAAATCCCTGTGAACACTTCTTGACTTGGGGTGCATCTCCCAGGCAGCACTGAGGTTTTGTGGTTATCTATATGGTATCACGCCACGGTGTACAACATAGCCTGCTTGATTCTGTGACATGGTAGTCCATGTCCATACCCCTAATTTACAGCTCTCTGAGGACATGCCAAAGAACATGTGTATAAGTCTATACAGCTAGAAAAGGGCAAAATTGGCTGAGAGCCCAGGTTTCCTGGCTCCTTGGGCAGGACTCTTCTCAACTTTTTGACATTGCAGCATGATGTCATCTACAAATATGGTGGGCAGCCTGCAGCATGAGCGTGGGTAGTAAGTAGACTGTTCCACCCCGGGGGAGTAGAGGACCCAACCTAGGAGATGGGACCCTACTTCTCACCCACTCAGACTCTCAGAACCCAGTGGGTCAACGCTACTGCTCATGTGAGCTTTGAGAAGCTTGGGGAAGTGGCGGGTTATAGGCAGGTCCTGCTAGGAGGGAGGGACAGCAGTGACAATCACTCTGGGTCCTTCCCCCCTCCAGTATTTCGTCTTCGACTTCCATGTCTCTCCTGACGTCATGTTTGACAAGATCATCAAGATCTCGGTGAGTGGAGAGCAGCCGCCACCGGCAGGGCCTACGTTGGGATCTCCGCACAGCCCCGTAACATGCTGTTCATAGCACAACAGTCCTGTGCCTGGACGCAGACTGGGCAAAGGGCAGCAGCACAGAATGGACAGTGGCCCCCTCTTGCACCTTCACCCGGCTCTCTTTATAGAGTATAAAACCTACTCAGCCATATGTCACAGTGGTGGGGGAACACAGCGTAGGACGGGAGGGGCTGCTGCTGACCTTCAGCAAGCCAGCCCTGTCCCCGCCAAATACCTGACCACTTTGCTATGAAACCTGGGTCCTGAGAAAGACAGAGTTAGCGCTATCATCAGTGGGCCCCGCCCCTGTCCCCTTCCCCGCCCCCGGCCCCCCAGGCTCCCCCTGCCCTGCCTGACGGGCTGCTGGTGGTTCTGTCCCGAAGGTGATCCATTCTAAGAACCTGCTTCGAAGTGGCACCCTGGTGGGCTCCTTCAAAATGGACGTGGGGACCGTGTACTCCCAGCCCGGTGAGTAACCCATGAGAATGGACTGGTGCGTGCATTACCAGAAGCAACATACAGGGTGCATCCTGCTGTATTGGTTCCTAACTCATCCGTCAAGGAGCACAGACAGAATCCATCAGTGTGTGGCCATGGGGTTGGCAGTGAAGAGGATGTGCAGGCCACGGGCACCATGTCTGATAGGTGCTCGGTCACTATGGGAGCAAGGGATCTGGCCACAGTCGTGCAGAAAGGCAGCTTAAGAAGAACGTCACTTCTCCTGTGTTATATGAAAACAGTTACACCAAGGACAGTGAGAGGCCGGGGAGGGGCCATGCCCACCCCCTGCCCCTGGCTGGCACCTGCTGAGCAGAAAAGGAAACTGCCATCCTTACAAAATCCCTGTCATCCCCCCCCCCTTTCTGGCAGTTAAGAAGCCTGAGCCTGCTGGGTGTCGGTGGCGCACCCCTTTAATCTCAGCACTCGGGAGGCAGAGGCAGGCAGATCTCTCTGAGGCCAGTCTGGTCTACAGAACAAGTTCCAAGACAGCCAAGGCTACGTAGGGGAACTCTGTCTCAGAAACACAAACAAAGAAACAAAGAGGAGAGACCTGAGGCTCACAGATGTGCCAGGGTTTGGCCCAGCCACTCAGCTAGTTAGGGGGATACCAGAGCGTGTGTTTCAGAGCACCCCACGCTGTCCAATCTAAATGTGACCATTGATAGCAAGGGTTATACAGCAATTCTGGGGGCCTCTGGGCCCTTTTCATAAGGGATCCAGGCCCCCTAAGGAAGTCATGGTGGGAGGTGCTATATCTGATTAATTATTCCACAGGTACCTGATGGGAGATGCGACTGTATGTGACTATATGTTTCTCTTATCGGTTGATGAATAAAACTGTTTCAGCCAATGGCTTAGGCTTCTTACTGGCTAGCTTTCTCTTAATTATCAACCCATTTCTATTAATCTGTGTATCACCACATGGCCTAGACTTACTGATGGTGATGCCCTCAAATTTTTATTCCCTGGCAGCTACATGGCACCTCCTCAACTCTGCCTACTACCTCTCTCTATCCCTGTTCAGATTTCCCGCCTGGCTTTACTCTGTTAAGTCATTGGCTGAAGCAGCTTTACTCATCAGCCGATAAGAGAAACATATAGTCACAGCATACAGAAAGATATCCCCTCATCGGGTGCCAACGGCCAACACTGCATAGAGTTGCCAAGGGCACCTCAAGTGATGGTCTAGAAGGCTTGTCAATTTGGGGATATCCATGTCCCTGACATCAATAATCACCCTACTGGGCTCTTTGATGATGACAATACAATTTCCTTGTCACATTTGTCCCTCGCAAAGCAGTTAGACACACAGTAACATCCCTTCCCACTTTACAGAGGCACCAGTGGGGGAGGGACCTTGAAGGTGACACTAACATGTAGGTGAAACTGTCGGCGCTTTCTTGGGGCCTATAAACACTCAGCTGGCGCCCACTGTAGCATGGCTTGCATCAGGAATGTGAGTCTAGTGTCTAAGACTATTCACATGAACTCGCAGATCGAAACATTCCAGACATAGGAGGCCTTCAAGCATCTAGTCGGCTACCCATTAAGACAGGCAGACCGGTGGGCTGGGGTGTTAGTCAGTTAGTGGAGTCTGGCACACCCAAAGGGATGAGTTAAAGCCTCAGCACTGTGTAAACCCGCTGTGATGGTGTACAACTGTAGTCCCAGCCCTTGGGAGGTAAAGGCTGCAGAATCAGAAGTCCAAGGTCACCCTTAGCTATATAGCAAGTTGTCCAACTGGGGTTCGCAAAAGGGAAGATTGACAAACCCAAAGTGATGAGGGGACTTACCCTGCGTAAGAGGAATTGCTTGGTCTCCTGGTACCCAGGCCTCTCCACTGCCCTGCACAGGCTCGGGGCCTCCAGGATTCCTGCTATGTCCCTTCCCAGGATACATGCCCAGCCATGGTCTGTAGGTTTGAGTGCAGCCGCCGGCATCTCTGGAGAGGGCCTCCTCTCTAGACTAAGCGTCAGCAGGCCTTCAGCCAAGATAAAGGGGAGGGTGGGAAACTGGTGACTGAGTTCTGGCTGAGAAAATGCTCTTACAGAAGAGGTTGGTAGGGTCAGACACTAAGTCAGACACATTCCAGCAGGTCTAACTTCCCAATCCATGCAGACACTGTTGTTCCCATCTGACAATAAGGAAACAGAGACTCTCCAAGCTGGTCCAAAACTACTGGAGGATAGAACTTGAGCTCAGGCCTTCATGAGCCGTAAGCACCCTTCCCAGACTTACTGTGTGAACCTGGTCCCCTCTCAGAGGTTCGCTTGTCCTTTAAAGTTTCTCTTGACCGCGAGTGCAGGAAATTGCTCACTGCTGCCCTCTGCTGGAGACGGGTTGTAGTCACAGAGGCCAGAGTGGGGGGCCTTTCCATTGCCACACAGCTGGGGAGCACGAAGCCCTGGGGCGAACTAAGTCTCCTGTTCTTCTTTCATCTCCAGCTGGAGATTGCAATGTCAGTCTAGAAGAACCCCAGAGGACATAAATGCAGTGTGTACCCCACAGGGGTGCCCCTCCCTGATGGCCATGTAGCCAGAAGTAGGTTACTCACCACCTGTATTTTAGACAACTGTTTCGTGTGTGTCAGACCCAAATCTGTCATCTGTATTTCTTGTCACCTACAATCTTCAGCCATGTTTTCAGGTTTGTCTTCCAATCCCTTTTAGGTTTAAAGGTAAATTTTGTGTTAGCTGAATCCTGTTCTTTCCTTATTAAATCCCACCCCTACGCCCGTTTCATCCAACCTCGTACATGCCTGCCAATGTACCCATCCATACAAACATCCACTCCTTTGTCCACAGCATAACAGATCCTGCTATCCATTTATCCACGTACATCCTCCCAGACATCCCCCAGGCCAACAGGCACCCACCTACGCGGCGCTGCTCATCTCACCAGCCATCGGGTTACCCTTCCTACCTGTATCTGCTCAGAACCCTGAGGTTCTAGTGATATATGGCACCCTATTTCTGAGGCCACCAGCTCAGCAGGAGGACTCCAGTGGCTCCAAAAACCAAGGCTTCCTGGCCTCTCTCATCGCCCCTGAACCTCCCTTGACACTCAGGGCCTTAGCTCTCCACAGCTGGACCAGCTGACCCACACGCTCAGGCTGGACCCTGCTCCCTGCCCCAACCTCCCCTCAAGGTCCCCACCAGGGTCAGAACCTTGGAGGACACAAGAGAAAAAAAGAGGGATGTTCTGAGAGCCTGCAGGTTTCAATACCTGCAAGTAACTATTTTAAAGTTAACCCTGTGGGGCAGATCTTCCTAAAAGGCCTCCTTCGTTGGCATTTTTCTCCACGCTGTCCTGTGCCCTAGGGACACTGGGGAGGCACACTGCTAATCTGCTCCAGTCTAATCATGGAGCAGGCAGTGTAGAGATGAGCAGTGAGATAGGAGTCAGGTACATGGGTCCCCAGGGGCACCAAGAGGTCAGATCCCATCCCTCTGAAGTAGTCAGAGGAGGCTGCATGGAAGAGGAGACCCTTGGACAAAATGGGTAGCTTTCCAGCTAAACAAGGACAAGCGAGAAGATGAGGACATTTGGAGCAGACACAGTGGCCTAGAGTCCGTCTTAGTGCAAGCTCAAGAAGCAGTGGGCACTCTGCCTGGACATCCTGGGGTGGCGGAACCAAGCAGGGAAGAGAGTAGCCGGACTCCCTTGCCAAACCATTGGGCTTCCCCTCAAGACACAGGAGAACTCAGAGGGACTGACACGGGGTGGGGGACATGCTGGGGGAGCCTCTATTTTAGTACAACCTATCTGGCAGCTATGTGGGACCAACCGTGGCAGGGACCAGAGGAGAGACCTGCAGGCTGAGAAATGACTTGGAAGCAGTCTGGAGTCCTGGAATATGCTCCTGGGTGGGGCCCCGCCCAACCCTCTGGCTACAGTGGTCCTCTGTCTTCACCGGGTGGGTGCGAACAGAGCTGTGGCCCCAAGTCTCCTGGGCCGGTGCCCTTGAAGTTGCCAGGCCTAACAGGCGCTCAGCTCGGGTGTCCCACGGCCTGGTCTTGGATGGGGGTGGCAGGCCAACGCTCCTCCTTGTCACTGCAGAACACCAGTTCCATCACAAGTGGGCAATCCTGTCTGACCCCGACGACATCTCTGCCGGGCTGAAGGGCTATGTAAAGTGTGATGTCGCTGTGGTAGGCAAGGGAGACAACGTCAAGACACCCCACAAGACCAACGAGACAGATGAGGACGACATCGAGGGGTGAGGCCCCGTCTCCCCTGGAGATCCGCATACAGCTTCCTTCCTCCCCCAGAGGAAGCTCCTGAAGTGGCCTGAACCCAGAATTCTTGCCATCACCCCCTTACCTCCATGCTCCATCCTGCCAGTCTCCCCCAGGGCCCAGGGCAGTGTGTCCGTTGGGGTAAATAGAGGGCGATGTGTGGACGCCCAGACTTTCAGCTGAGAAAGCTGGTGGGAAGAGGAGATGCTGGTAGCCTTCTGATGCCATGATTAGCATCCTCCGTTATCATTTGTAAAGCACTCACTATGTGCTGCTTTTCTGACACGTGGCTATTAATATTATTGCCACCTTAATGCGGAAGAAACTGAATCTCGGTGAGAGGGGATCCTTTCCCAGAATCCCATGAATGAGTGTCTTTAACCCAAGTCTGGGTCCTCTAAAGCGGTCCTCCACAGATTATTCCAGACCCCATGAGGATGCAGCTGCTAACTGGTGTGTGTGTGTGTGTGTGTGTGTGTGTGTGTGTGTGCGCACACATGCAGGCCTGTGCGAGACAGACAACACACATGTACAAACGTTCCCTTGCTTTCTCCCATCTCCTCCCTGACCCCATCCTCTCCGCCTCTCCTCCCATCATGCTCCTTGCATGGCTCTCGGTCTAAGGACCTAAGAGGCAAAGAGGATTCTCTGAGCCTGATCCATGGTGGATGTGACATGCTGCCTGTGCTCACAGGAACTTGCTGCTCCCCGAAGGCGTGCCCCCAGAACGTCAGTGGGCCCGGTTCTACGTGAAAATTTACCGAGCGGAGGGACTGCCCCGGATGAACACAAGCCTCATGGCCAACGTGAAGAAGGCTTTCATTGGTGAGAACAAGGACCTCGTAGACCCCTACGTGCAAGTCTTCTTTGCTGGCCAGAAGGTACTGAAGACAGAAATGCTGAAGAATGGGATGATGGGCTTAGGGGACGGGTGGTGGGTGGGAGGAAGGGGCAAACCAGGAGAAATCTGGAATCTCAAGCTGGGAACCCACACACCACACACATGCACACACACACCCACACATACGCACACACACCACACACATGCACACACACACATGCACACACACACACACACACCACATACACACACACACACACATGCACACATACACCTCCCCACACACACACTAGCTGTGACTTCATCTCACCAGGGCAAAACGTCGGTGCAGAAGAGCAGTTATGAGCCACTGTGGAACGAGCAGGTCGTCTTCACAGACCTGTTCCCCCCACTCTGCAAACGCATGAAGGTGCAAATCCGAGACTCCGACAAGGTCAACGATGTCGCCATCGGCACCCACTTCATTGACCTGCGCAAGATTTCCAACGACGGAGACAAAGGTCAGCTGCATCACGTGCGTGCGTGCGTGCATGCGTCAGGGGTGAGAGCGGGGCATGGAGGGAAGAGTGAATGAGGCCCTTTCCCTTACACCACCTCGGACCTCAGCCAGACAGAGCTTTCAAGGGTCTACCTGTAGCCCCTGCCTCAAGGAAAGGGAGAAGGTAATAACACTCAAGACTGCTTGGACCTGACAGGGTCTAGCAATTAGCTGTGTTGCCTTTGCACCCGTTTTTGCCTTTGGCCAAATGAAATTAAGAACTGTCATATGTTACAGTGCACAAGCTCCATATATGTGATCTCCGGGTTTTCATTAGTAACGGATGAGAGCAATGACACCCATCTATGGGCCTGTGGGGACTGACCGGATCCCAGAGCCCAGGAAAAATGCTGGGCACAAGGATACAGTGACACAGGATGCCACTCCTAACCCTTCTCATGCCCCTGGGGAAATTAGAGAGACAGACATGATACCAATGACCAGGATAGCAGACAAAAAAGAAAGCCCACAATGCAGTTCTGCATCGAGGAGATACCAAGAGGAAGTGAATCCAGACACAGACAATTGACTGCTGCTTCAGGAACAAAGAGAGGGTGGCCAAGAGCACCTGCTCAGAGGGGTGGGGGGCTTCTTCAGGGCGGGTAGGAGTTTGACAGACCATGACGGTGGGTGCACAGCCTGCTGAACATACTCTAGCTACCCAAACACGCACTTTAAATGCCAGATTTTATTAGTGAATTATAATCTCAATTTTGATGCCATTTTTACAAAACAAACAAAAATGGTTCATGAGGGTCTAAGTTCAATCCCTAAAACCTATTGTAAAAAAAAAAAAAGAGAGCACGGCATGATGGCATGTGCTTGCAATCCCTGCACCAAGGTCTAAATCCCAGCCAGCCTAGTCAACCTGCCAAGTTCCAACTGAGAAACCCTGTCTCAAAAAAAAAGAAAAGAAAAAGAAAGAAAATAGAAAAAGAACAGAACTATCAGAGACTGGCCTCCTTGTGCAGATACTACACCCATACACACACATTATAGATGCATCCGCACGTGTGCATGCATACACATACACACACACACACACACACACACACACAGGTTTTGTTTTGTTTGTTTGTTCATTTGTCTTACCATGTAGACTGGGCCGGCCTTGAATTTACAAAGATCAAAGATCTGCCTGCTAGTATTAAAGGTGTGTGCCCATATTCAGATTCTGCCAAAAAAGAGAGAGATTGGGGGGGAGAAGAAAGAAAGGAAGGAACAAACGAAGGAAGAAGAAAGAAAATATATTAAAGAAGAATTAGATTCACATAAGGCAAGATTTACCCCCAATTCCTAAGCACGAGAGAAGTGACTGGTGACAGAGATGGAGAACGAGGCTGCTCTCCAGCCCCAGCTCCTGCTCAGCCCACCATGGCCACAGCCCCGGCTGCTGCTTCCTGAAGGAGCTGAGGGCCCAAGAGTAACCATGAGAACACAGAGAGGAGGGAAGGTCCCCTAAGCAGAAGTGGCAGGATAGATGTGCATCCTACATCCAGAAACCAAAGTGGAGGGTCCGGGCCGTGGGTGCGGGGAGCGGCTAAGTCCAAAGATCGCACCTATAGCAGTGGGAAACAAGTCTGGCTTTCTCTCCCACACACCTTGCCAAGGCCCCTGCAGAGACTAAGACGCCAGAAGGCAAGCTGTGTAGGCTCGGGTGACAAAGCTGCCCCATACACGCCTGGCGCCCAATAGTCCTGAGCTCAGCACTCAGGACACAGTCTTTCCACCTCTCCCCTCGCTACCGTAGGCTTCCTGCCCACGCTCGGCCCAGCCTGGGTGAACATGTACGGCTCCACACGTAACTACACGCTGCTGGACGAACACCAGGACCTGAACGAGGGTCTGGGGGAGGGTGTGTCCTTCCGCGCCCGCCTCATGCTGGGACTGGCTGTGGAGATCCTGGACACCTCCAACCCAGAGCTCACCAGCTCCACGGAAGTGCAGGTGGAGCAGGCCACGCCCGTCTCGGAGGTGAGGGCAAGGCTGTGCTGTGTCGGGGTCCTCACTGGGTCTCCTCAACGTGCCAGCTGGCTTCTGCTTTTTCCTTACTGTTGCCCTGTCTGCTCAGACGCCCTCATGTGGCCATGTGACACAGCCTCCGTCCTCATCTCCTGTTGACCTGTGCTCTTCGGCACAGAGATCCCGTTATAGCCACCAGCAACCATGATGGCGACCCTGCTCTGCTTCTCTTCTCAGCCGTGGTTATCCTTGGTCTACAGAACAAGGACAGCTAGGCTGGGGGCTTGAGCCCAGACTTCCTAGCCCCAAAGCTGAATAGGACCCACCCCAACTGTCAGCCGAGAGCCTGCCTATATCAGGAGCCTGACCCAGACCTGTTGCCCCACTAAAGCTGAATGCAGGTTTTAACTGCCTCCCCCACAGAGCTGCACAGGAAGAATGGAAGAATTTTTTCTATTTGGAGCCTTCCTGGAAGCTTCCATGATTGACCGGAAGAACGGGGACAAACCAATTACCTTTGAAGTGACCATAGGTGAGTTCTGCTGGGATCATGGGAGGGGGTTCGGGCTTCTGGGTTGCCACTGGTGGCCCCGTGCCCTAGGCTACAAAGACTGGGGTCTTAGTTAGGGTTTCTTTTGCTGTGACAAAATGCCGTGACCATAAAGCAAGCTGGGGAGGAAAGGGTTTATTTGGCTTACACTTCAGCAATGCTGTTCATCACTGAAGGAAGTCAGGACAGGACCTCAGACAGGGCAGGATCCTGGGGCCAGGAGCCAATGCAGAGGCCATGGACAGATGCTGCTTACTGGCTTGCTCAGCCTGCTTTCTTGCAGAACCCAGGGCCACCAGCCCAGGGATGACGTCACCCACAATGGACTGGGCTCTCTCCTGTTGATCACTAAATGAGAAAACGCCTTACAGCTAATGCTCATGGAGGCATTTCTTCCACTGAGGCTCCTTCCTCTCTGACGGCGCTAGCTTGTGTCAAGTTGACACAAAAAACCAGCCAGTACAGTGAGCAACACTAATGTGTTTCACTGTCCTCAAATGCCCTTGAAGCATTTTGAAATTGAAAAACATTCTTGAAAGTGTACTTGACTGTAAGAGAGGTCAACCATCACTCCACCAAAGGGCCAGACTGGGACTAGAACATTAGAAGGGGGGAGGAGGAGCCCCGCCCCCAGCAGTGGAGCAGACAGAGGAGAAATCCAGGCTACATTCTGAGTCGGGCATAGCCATCATCAGACCTCTCCCTTACGGGGGACATGGGATCTCTCCCTGGATGGTGTTGTCTGAGTCCTTTCCCTCTCCAAGAGAAATGCATGGGCTGGATTGAGGGTGGGGTGAGTGATGAAAAGGACTGTAGGCCTTTCACATACCACTCTTTGTCCAGGAAACTATGGCAACGAAGTTGATGGCATGTCACGACCCCAGCGGCCTCGGCCCCGGAAGGAGCCTGGGGATGAAGAGGAAGTAGACCTGATTCAGAACTCCAGTGATGATGAGGGTGATGAAGGCGGAGACCTAGCCTCAGTGTCTTCCACCCCCCCTATGCGGCCCCAGATCACAGACAGGTGGGCCCTGCCCCTCGCCCCTGCCTCCAGTGGCCTTGGCCCTCGCTGCCCAGGGCCCTAGACTTCAACATCCTTCACCCTCCCTCTGCATCCCTCCCCAGGAACTACTTTCACCTGCCCTACCTGGAGCGCAAGCCCTGCATCTACATTAAGAGCTGGTGGCCTGATCAGCGACGACGCCTCTACAATGCAAACATCATGGACCACATAGCTGATAAGCTGGTCAGGGCCAGGCAGGGGTGGTGGGATCTGGAATTATGGGCACGTGTGAGGGCCTCACCTGTAAAACAAGGGCCGTTTATCCAGAGGCATAAAGGCAGGGGACCCCAACAGGTCCCAGAGCTCTGGAGTAGAGTCTAAGGGTCTGCCCTCTAGGTCTGGGCCCTGGGAGGCAGCTGGGCAGGCTTCAGGTCTGCATAAGGGCTCTACCCAGCCCCGGGTCCTGCTCAGCCCACCATGGTCACAGCCCAGGGTGCTTCTGCCTGAAGGAGCTGGAGACCCAAGAGTAACCAAGAGTCACCACTGTCTACAATAGGCCCTGGGGACTTGGTGGCTCCTTCAGAATATATATAGGATAGCCCATGCTTCCTGGGGTGAACGGGAGGGACATCTGGGAGGAGGGCGGAGGCCCCAAGTGCACCTGAAACCCCGGTTCACAGGAAGAAGGTCTGAATGACGTGCAGGAGATGATCAAAACAGAGAAGTCCTACCCGGAGCGCCGCCTGCGGGGCGTGCTAGAGGAACTTAGCTGTGGCTGCCAGTGAGAGGACGGACAGGGAGGGCAGGGTGGGGACGGGGGACACCATAGCCAGGTCAGGGCAGAGCAGGCTAAGCCTCGGCTCTTCCCCGCCCCCCATCCCTCTGCAGCCGCTTCCTCTCCCTCTCGGACAAGGACCAGGGCCACGCGTCCCGCACCAAGCTGGATCGGGAGCGCCTCAAGTCCTGTATGAGGGAGCTGGTGAGGCCACAGCTGGACCCTGGGCTCAAGGAAGCCAACGGGCAGGGGCTCAAGCTGTCACTGAAAGCTGAATGCTCCTCCTACGCTCTTCCCAACAGGAGAGCATGGGGCAGCAGGCCAAGAGCCTGAGGGCTCAGGTGAAGCGACACACTGTGCGGGACAAGCTGAGGCTATGCCAGAACTTCCTACAGAAGCTACGCTTCCTGGCAGATGAGGTGGGTGGCCTAGAGGCTAGGGACAGCACGGAAAGGAGCTGGCCAGAAAGTCTGCCCCTGGGCGGGTCCTCTGTAAACAAGATTCAGTGGGAGAAAAAAGCCCAAGAATGAGGGTCTCTCCCTTCCAAGCCCCCAGCTCCCCCTCAGCCAGGCCCAGCCCCCAGGAGTGTGGTGCATCAAGCTCAGGGTCCCTTTATACTGAAGCTGCCCCCACCCCACCCCCGCACACCTGTGCTCTCCGCAGCCCCAGCACAGCATTCCAGACGTGTTCATTTGGATGATGAGCAACAACAAGCGTATCGCCTACGCCCGGGTGCCCTCCAAGGACCTGCTCTTCTCCATTGTGGAGGAGGAGATGGGCAAGGACTGCGCCAAAGTCAAGACCCTCTTCCTCAAGGTGCCGGGGGATGGGGCTCGGCGGGGGAGGTGTGTTCTTCTCCGCTGACTCTCGCTGGCCTGAGGGACGGAGCTGGGACCCTTAACTAGCAGGTGTTCAGAGGTCTGGAGCCCTCCTGGCCCTCCTGGCTCCATCTGCCCATCCCTCTTGAGTGAAGGGGTGGGCACGACTCTGCCTAAGGCTTCAACACCACCCTGGGCCTCCCTTACTCTGTGGGCCCTGGGAGCTGTCAGGCTCTTGGTGACCCTGAGCCTGTCCCTAGCTGCCAGGGAAGAGGGGCTTCGGCTCGGCAGGCTGGACAGTACAGGCCAAGCTGGAGCTCTACCTGTGGCTGGGCCTCAGTAAGCAGCGAAAGGACTTCCTGTGCGGCCTGCCCTGCGGCTTCGAGGAGGTCAAGGCAGCCCAAGGCCTGGGTCTGCACTCCTTTCCACCCATCAGCCTGGTCTACACCAGTGAGTGAGGACTCCTCACCCTGGGTGGCCCACTCTCCCGGCTTGTACCCCCAGGGGGCCACAGGGGCCATACGGCATAGCTCAGCCCACTCTTCCCCACAGAGAAGCAAGCCTTCCAGCTCCGAGCCCACATGTATCAGGCCCGAAGCCTCTTTGCTGCCGACAGCAGTGGGCTCTCTGATCCCTTCGCCCGTGTCTTCTTCATCAACCAAAGCCAGTGCACAGAGGTGAGGGCCTTGGGGGGGGGGGCTTGAGGAGAGGAGCTCTAGGGGGAGGGGCTCTGGCTTGGGAGCACTAGGAGGCAGTACAACTGATCTGCTAGTTCCCCAGATCCTCAGAGGGAAGTCCTTCAGGTAAATGGCTAGGCTGGCAAAAGCCACCAGCTTGAACTATGCCCACAAGGCAAGAAGACTTTGTCAGGGCACTGGGAACCAACTTCACAGGAGCCTTGACTTTCGGATTTCTGGGAAAGACGGGGAATCAAACACTCCTGCCTGCAGGGTTCCCTGCAGCCCGTGACTAGGAGTGGGGTCTGCCCCTTGTTCCCCATCCATCAACTCCATGGTGCAGGTTCTGAATGAGACGCTGTGTCCCACTTGGGACCAAATGCTCGTATTTGACAACCTGGAGCTGTATGGTGAAGCGCATGAATTACGAGACGATCCCCCCATCATTGTCATTGAAATTTACGACCAGGACACCATGGTAAGGGTGGGCACTGGCACCAGTGACCGCTAGCAGACCCTCCCCTTACAGATTCCCCACCCTCCCCCTGCAAATGATGCCCTATGTTGGCTGCCTCTGTTGGGAAGCCAGGTTGGTGACCAAGCCTCCTGCCCACCCACAACCTGGTCCTCTTCCAGTACAATGAGCGTCTCGGGGATTAGGAGCAAACCACAGTGTTTCCCACCTCCTGGATACACACACTGAGGCCAGTGTCTTCCAGAGATGTACCAGGGAGCCCTGTTGTCACAGCCCCACCCCCGCTCCGGGGCTCTGCTCCCTACCAATATTGTTCACAGTCTGTAGCAGGTTCTGGGGTGGCGAGGAAAGGTCGGGATAAAACCCCTTCCAAGAGGAGCTAACTCTGCCTATAACCGTTGGGGTGCCCAAGGGAACTCTAGAGTTGTGTTGTGTTAGGGCAAAGCTGACTTCATGGGCCGGACCTTCGCCAAGCCCCTGGTGAAGATGGCAGAGGAGGCATACTGCCCGCCTCGCTTCCCGCCCCAGCTCGAGTACTACCAGATCTACCGCGGCAATGCCACTGCCGGGGACCTCCTGGCTGCCTTCGAGCTGCTGCAGGTAGGTGGCAGCCAAGGGTGAGGGCTGGGAGTAAGATCTCGTGACACCAACACACTGGGAAAAGGGCCCTCTCCTTGGACCTGCCACTATGACTTACGACTTCATTTCTTCAGATTGGGCCATCCGGGAAGGCCGACCTGCCACCCATCAACGGCCCGGTGGACATGGACAGAGGACCCATCATGCCTGTGCCAGTGGGAATCCGGCCAGTGCTCAGCAAGTATCGAGTAGAGGTGTGTGTAGCAGGCTCTTTCTTTTGGACCACCAACCAACTCCCAAATCATGACAGAGACTTAGTATTAGTTACGAATGCTCGGTCTAGCTTACACTCATTTCTGGCCAGCGCTTTTAACTTAAATTAATCTGTTTCTCTAATCTACCTTTTGTCTCGGGTGCTTTGCTTTTCTTTCCTTCTGTGTATCTGACTTTCACGGCTTCTCCTGTCCAGCTGGTGACTGCCTGGCTTCTGGCCTGGGTGTGTCTCTTTCCTTCCTCTTCCATCTCCTTCTTCTCGAGCCCAGATTTCTCCTCCTATTTATTCTTTCTGCCCACCAGCCCTGCCTATCCCTCTCCCGTCTACCTTTTGGCCATTTGGCTTTTTACCAGACCAATCAGGTGCCATAGGCAGGCAAGGTGAAATGAATACAACACATCTTTACACAATCCAACACACGTCATTACATCGTTAAACAAACGAGGCACAAACAAAAGCAACACACCTCTACACAGTTAAAGTAACACTCTGCAGCAAAAACAAACGTAACACATCTTTGCCCAGTTAAAGTAATTTCCGCAACAGAGGTGCGTGAGGGCTCCATGCCCCTTCCTGCCCTGCCTGTGACCTTTGCCCGGCACCTTGAGGCTTTGCTCCCTGAAGCACCATGAGTTCCCAGTCTATGTGAGGCATCAAATTCCTAGTCCCCTAGCCACACCCCTCAGTTTCAGAAAAGCACAGCAAGGACCCAAGAGTGGAGGGGACTGGCCCAAGATCACTCCCCGGAGCCAGCAGCACTGACACAGGCCCCAGCCCAGGCTGCTGCCGGTCCTGCTCTGACAGAGTCACAGCCCTGTGCCCAGAGCCATTGTCGGCCCCTGCCTTCCACAGTGACCCTACCCGAGGCCTCCGAGGATGCTCGCCACACGCAGCCTCCCGGCGCTGCCCTGCCCTGACAATCTAGCCTCTCCTTACCTCCCACCCTGTCACTGATTTCTCGGGTGACCCTTCCCAGCCACCACTGGCTCCCTTCACAAAGCCACCCTCTCCCTGCTCCCAGGTGCTGTTCTGGGGCCTGAGGGACTTGAAGAGGGTGAACCTGGCCCAGGTGGACCGACCACGGGTGGACATCGAGTGTGCGGGGAAAGGGGTGCAGTCATCCCTGATCCACAACTATAAGAAGAGCCCCAACTTCAACACCCTGGTCAAGTGGTTTGAAGTGGTGAGTGAGGGAGCTGACAGATCAGGGCAGGGCTAGGAACGGCCCATGCGGCTTGCCTTAGCCAGCCCCCTCTGCCCCTTTCTCTGAGCTCTGAGGCATAGGCTGTAACACGTTACCATCATCTCCCAGGACCTCCCAGAGAATGAGCTCCTGCACCCACCCTTGAACATCCGAGTGGTGGACTGCCGGGCCTTTGGACGATACACCCTGGTGGGCTCCCATGCTGTCAGCTCCCTGCGACGCTTCATCTACAGACCCCCGGACCGCACAGCCCCCAACTGGAACACCACCGGTATGGCCACTAAAGCCTGGGCCTGGCTCTAGCCAGCTCCTAGAAGTTCGAGCATCCCTCAGGGTTTCCTCTATGGCGTATCTATGGGGCAGTGTGGCAGGGTAGTGGGATTGGGGGGGCAGTGGACATCCGTAGGGCCAGAGAAGGCTGCACAGGGCTGCCCTTCACTCTGAGGCCCACAGCCAGTACTGGGCAGGCCCTCAAAAAGGCTGAGAGCAGACGACCTCTTCTACCAGGTGATGGAGGACGCCCCGGGCCCTCTCCTGAGCACAGCCTTCAGGCTTCACCTCAGTTCTGCTGTCAGGACACACCAGCGATCCACCCTTCTCTCTAGATCATTTTCTTTCCTGGCACTCATCTTGTTCTTATATCTGCCCTGTCCCTCCTATGCCCTGAGAAAGTTCCAGAATCTGCTGTAAACCATTCTTCCTACCTTACTGCTGCTCACTGTGACTCTGTTCCTCCTCTGTCTGTCTGTCTGTCTGTCTGTCTGTCTGTCTGTCTCTCTGTCCAGTCAGGCTTCTCCGGGGCTGCCACGTGCTGTGCAATGGGGGCCCCTCTTCTCGCCCCACAGGGGAGGTGGTAGTGAGCATGGAGCCCGAGGTGCCTGTCAAGAAGCTGGAGACCATGGTGAAGCTGGATGCGGTAAGGGAGTGGCCGCCCCCCCCCCCCGGCCGGGGGCACACAATCACAGGTGGCAAGCCAGGCTGACCTGTCCTGAGAGCACAACACCCTGACTTAACTAAGTGTAGTTGTCAAGAGCCAACCTTGATTCAGGGCGTGTGGGAGCATTGCACACACGTGTACGCACATGTGTGCACGAGCAGATGACATGGATGTATAAGAAGGAGTAGTAACAGAGGCGATGATGACCTGAAGCGTTTCATACTCCAGAAATGACCCCCTAGGCAATGGACTGCTTATGACAGGTACGTCCTGCACAGGCCATTTTCCATGCCAAGTGATGCCCCAGGAGCCTGGGCTGGGGAAGAATCTCCACGGGGAGGTCCTGTTCCTCTGGCTTTAGGACCAGGGCTGTCTGCCTGGCAAAGGAAGGCCTGTAGGAAGGCAGGATGGGCCAGCCTGGAGCCAGCGTCCCTGAGGCCCCGTCTCTGCTCGGAGCCACACAGGGCTCCCTCCCAGCCTCAATTTCAGCCTCCTGTTCGCTACCACACTTGATTCACACAGCCTGGGGTATTTCCTAGCTTCTGAGGCCTGGTCTAAAGTGCTCTTCCCCTGACCTGGCCAGTGAGTAGAACCAGGGCTGCCAATGGTCTCTAGAAAGAACAGAAGGGGGGGGGAGGCTGCTGCTGTGGGTAGGCGGTGCCGCCTGGAAAGCTCGATGCCCAGGCACTCGGTTTTGAATACTCTGTGGCCCAGCTTCCCACCCCTTCCCCATACGGACTCATCATTAGCCATAAAGCCCCAGTGACTCTAAGGTACAGGCCGCCGGGGGAGTGGCAGAAGCAGCCTCGAGTAGGCCCTTAGTCACCTTAGCAGGCAGCCTGCCCTGTGAGTGTGAAGCTTGCCTTGCAGTCAAGAGCAAGGGGCTCTCAGCAAAGAGTAAGCATCGGTCACCGTGTGCATCCTCGTGGTTCCAGGCTTCTGGCTTCCTGGGCTGGCCCACTGCCTGCCCACTCGGTTCTTGGTGGCTAATCTCGTCCTGTCTTTCCCTCTGCAGACTTCTGATGCCGTGGTCAAGGTGGACGTGGTAAGTGTGGGAGCTGTGTGGGGCCCTGGGGCAAGAGACCCTTTTGCTGACACCAGCACCAGGCCAACTTCATGGACCTGGCCATGCCTCCCTGAGTGCCTGTCCTGCCTTGACCTGTGGCTCACAGTGGCAGGCTGTGCTTCCTGTGGGGCTGTAGCCTCCATGGCATCGGAGACCCCACAGCACTATGGGGGGGGGCTTTCTGTGATCAGATGGCCAGAGTGGGGAGGGACCATTCAGGGTCCCGGGAAAGGGTGGAAAGCGGGAGACCCTATGGGACAGTCGCGCTGGCCAATCCCCAGGCTGAGGAGGAGAAGGAAAGGAAGAAGAGGAAAAAGAAAGGAGCGTCAGACGAGGCAGAGGAAGAGGAGCCGGATGAGAGCATGCTGGACTGGTGGTCCAAGTACTTTGCCTCCATCGACACAATGAAGGAGGTGAGGCCCGGGCACGGGCTGGGTTCTAGAAAGGAGGAAGGGGAGGCAGGTGACCTCTCCAGCTCCTACCGTAACCCCCAGGAGCAGCTCTGAAATCTCCCTTCAGAACCCTCCCTCCTTGGGCTGGTAGACAGTTGCCTTTCCTGGCTTAGTCCCCTCTCGTCAGCCACGTGTCCCACAAAGATCTGTGGCATCTGCATGATGAGCACACATCATACCAGATGCTGTGGGAGGCAAAGATAGGGAACCACGAGTCTTGTGGAGGTGAAGGTGCCGTCAGCCATTGAGACATGGAGAGTCAGGGAAGCCCCTTCATGTTTTGGCAGCAACTTCGGCAACATGAGGCCTCTGGAATTGACTTAGAAGAGAAGGAAGAAATGGATACCACTGAGGGTGAGCCCTGGCCCCTGGCATCCAGACCCCTGGATTCCTGCATCTATGACAACATCTGCTGCTTCCCAGCCCTGGCTGGGGTGTGTGTATGTGTGCGTGCTGAGTGTGTGCATACTGTGAGTGCGTACACACTGTGTATGATGTTAGCATTGGTTATACAGGTGTGTGTGTGTGTGCGTGTGTGTGTATACTGTGTATGAACTTGAGTGTATACTGTGTGTATACTGTGTATGAACTTGAGTGCCCACATACCACAACACGCATGTGGAGCTCGGTGGATAACCTCATGTGTCTGTCACTCCGCACTTTCCACCTTGCTTGAAATAGGCTCTCAATGCCTCTGTGTACACCAGACTGGCTGGCCCGAGAGCCTCCAGGAATTCTCCAGTCTCTACCTTCCATTTCCCCATAGGAGCTCTGGGTCTACAGACACTTGTGCTATGCATCCAGCCTTTACATGAACTCCTGGGGTACAAACTTAGGTCCTCACACTTGAAATGCTCCCTCTGAGCCATCTCCCCAAGCACTGGTATTATCAATTTTTTTTTTTTTGCGACAGGGTTTCTCTGTGTAGCTTTGGAACCTGTCCTGGAACTCACTCTGTAGACCAGGCTGGCCACGAACTCACAGAGATCCGCCTGCCTCTGCCTCCCAAGTGCTGGGATTAAAAGCGTGTGCCACCAACGCCCAGCCGGTATTATCAATTTTTCAAAGAAAGACACTATACAAATGGTTTCCTCTTTTAGTCTAAGCATACCAGTGGCACATATGCCTGGAATCCCACTGGATCCAGCTTGGGAAATGCTAATAGGAAGCAACCTTGTTAATATAAACCTAGAAAACAAAGGGAGCAGACAGAGGACCACACAGACCCAGCGTCTTGCCCACTGACTCTGCCAAGAGAAAACAACTGTCTGTGTCCCTACCCCAGACATGGCCTCTGCATCTCCTCACGGAATGCACTGAGACTCTAAAGTTGTCAGGCATGGTGGCGCACGCCTTTAGTCCCAACACTCAGGAAGCAGAGGCAAGCGGATCTCTGTGAGTTCGAGGTCAGCCTGTTCTAGAGAGCAAGTTCCAAGACAGCCAGAGCTATGCAGAGAAACCATGTCTCAAAAAACAAGAGAGAGAGAGACTCCAAAGTTAAGTGGAGAAGCAGCGAGGCTGGGTCTCGAGCTCAGTTCTCTCCTCTCTGGCCCTCCCCACCTAAGATCTTCTAAGCTGACTAGGGCCGCCTTTTCTATTTTGGGCCAGGCCTGAAGGGGCCGATAAAGAACAAGGATAAATCCAGGGCTGCCAAGGAGGAGAAGAAGAAGAAAATCCCTGGTCCTGGCCAGGGACCAGAGGCTCCTGAGAAGAAGAAAGCCAAGATCGACGAGCTGAAGGTGAGGTCTGGGAGCAGATCCTGCCCGGGTGCAAGGTGGGAGGGAGGCAGCAGATGGGGCGGGGTGCTGGCATGAGGCTTGACGGCCTGGCCTGTCTAGGTGTACCCCAAAGAGCTGGAAACAGAGTTCGACAACTTTGAGGACTGGCTGCATACCTTCAACCTATTGCGGGGCAAGACGGGGGATGATGAAGATGGGTCCACAGAGGAAGAACGAATCGTGGGTCGGTTCAAGGTCGGGCAAGGAGCATGGCCCAACTGTTGTCCCCCCACCCCACCCCCGCAACCTTGTTTTTCTGTGTCTCTGTCACTGCCCTCTAGAACCCCTGTATCTTCCATGATCCGAGTGTTAAGGCCTTGCCACACTGTGAGCCTATACTGTTGGCCCTGTCCAGGGGAACCTGCAGCCTTACACCCCGCCCATGCCTTGATCCAGGGTTCCCTCTGTGTGTACAAAGTGCCACTCCCAGAGGATGTATCTCGAGAAGCTGGCTATGACCCCACCTATGGAATGTTCCAAGGCATCCCAAGCAATGACCCTATTAATGTGCTGGTTCGAATCTATGTGGTCCGGGTAAGACGCCCTTCACATCCCCCTCCCTGCAAGCCCCCCAGCCTCCGGCTGGAGAGATTAGGGTAGCTTGGAGACATCAGAGGGGTCCACTGGTCTAGTCCCCATCTTTCCAGAGAGGAAGTTCAGTCCCTGGGACTAGAAGCAGCAACTTCTTTCTAGAGTCACACAGTGAGACTTCTTTTTTTTGTTGTTGTTTTTTGGTTTTTTTTTTTTGTTGTTTTGTTTTGTTTTGGGTTTTTTTTTTTTGGTTTTTTGAGACAGGGTTTCTCTGTATTGTCTTAGAAGCTGTCCTGGAACTCGCTTTGTAGACCAGGCTGGCCTCGAACTCACAGAGATCCACCCGTCTCTGCCTCCCGAGTGCTGGGATTAAAGGCGTGCGCCACCAACGCCCTTTTTTTGGTTTTTTGAGACAGGGTTTCTCTCTATTGTTTTGGAGGCTGTCCTGGAACTACCTCTGTAGACCAGGCTGGCGTCGAACTCACAGAGATGCGCCCACAGTGAGACTTCTGTCTCTAACCCAATAACTCTGTCCCCACTTTTCAACACCATGGGACCCTCAGGAACAGGGCAGGGGTACCCAAGATTCTACTTAGGCAGCACTTACCCTGTCCAGGCCACAGACCTGCACCCGGCTGACATCAATGGCAAAGCTGACCCCTATATCGCCATCAAGCTAGGCAAGACTGACATCCGGGACAAGGAGAACTACATCTCCAAGCAGCTCAACCCCGTCTTTGGGAAGTAAGGCCTTGGGTGCCCTCTCTGCCCACCCCGACCCACAGTCCAGTCCCCACCCCTTGCCAGTCTCAACCTGCAACCCCCTCCTAACCCCCTGCCTGGCAGGTCCTTTGACATCGAGGCCTCCTTCCCAATGGAGTCCATGTTGACAGTGGCCGTGTATGACTGGGATCTGGTGGGCACTGATGACCTCATTGGAGAAACCAAGATCGACCTGGAAAACCGCTTCTACAGCAAGCACCGGGCTACCTGCGGCATTGCGCAGACCTACTCCATGTGCGAGGAGAGAGTGGGACCAGTCACTGGGAGGGCTGAGGACCAGTCTGAGGGCAGGAAATGGGGAAGGGGGTGGATGTCTGTTGCATCATAACACTAGGACAAGACTCGGGAGTAATACACATGCAAGAATTTCTGTTTTGGGTTATGCCTTCACCCTACATAAGTGCAGCTTCAGGGACTGGGCCTGAATATTCCAAGACAAGGTAGGGATGGGATTCCAAGACAAAGGAGACAATATGGAAAGCAGAAGGGGACAGGACAGTGGATACTATCTTCAGAGGATCTGGGAAAACCTCTGCTAATTACAGGCTGAGTGGCTTAGTCAAGACCCTTCCCTCTCTGGTTATCCGATGCCTCAAGAGAGCCCTTGAGGGATGATGGGGTGGTGGTTGGGCAGCACTGGATGTCGGAGCCAAAGACAAGACAGAAGGGTCAGTCTCCAGCTGCGCTGGTGTCTTGGGTGAACCTGGAGCTGCAGGAGGCCTATTGCTGATGTAGGCGATGGCCAGCTGTGGCGAACTGGCCAGAAACAGCTGCCACCTGGCATGGCCCAGCCTGAGCCGGTTCACGCCTGTGTGTCTCCTCCCACAGACACGGCTACAATATCTGGAGGGACCCTATGAAGCCCAGTCAGATCCTAACCCGTCTCTGCAAAGAAGGCAAAGTGGACGGCCCCCACTTTGGTCCCCATGGGAGAGTGAAGGTCGCCAACCGTGTCTTCACGGGGCCTTCAGAGATAGAGGACGAGAATGGTAAAGGGCCTTGAAGGCAGCTGACTGGCCCCACTCCAGGGGCTTCAGAGGCCACCAGGGAGCCACACTTCTCTATGGGGGACTAGTGCTCACGTCCTTAAACTGAGTCCTAGTGGCCTTCTGATCCATACTCCAGAGCCCCTCCCATTCTGCCTAGGGACCGCCCTGACGCCCTCTCCTGTACCACACTCACCCACACGCGACACCCCTCTCGCTTCCGTTCATCCCCACGGACCAGGAAAACACCCCATTCGACAAATGAGCCAACTGAGTCACAACAAGTTCCAGTCTGGTGACTTGCCCAAGGTCACGAATCTCTCCCGAGGCAGAGTAAGGGTGTGGACCTAGGTCTCTCTGGCTCAAAGCCCCACTCCTGCTCACCCCCACTCCTTACCCCAAGTCTGGTAAGCCAACTTCACAGGTCTTTCTGCCCCGTGGTGCAGCTGAAACCTTGGCCTTTCTCTGCGTCTGGTCCCTAGCAATAAAATAAAAGTAAGGCTAGGCAGACAGATCAAGACTCGCTCGGGGCTTTGTGCTCCTAAGCTCCTGGCCTCAGCACAGGTCCCCTGGTTCTGAAGAGACCGTGGGGATGCACCTGACCCACTGTCACCCACAGGTCAGAAGAAGCCTACAGATGAGCACGTGGCATTGTCTGCTCTGAGACACTGGGAGGACATCCCCCGGGTGGGCTGCCGCCTTGTACCAGAACACGTGGAGACCAGGCCGCTGCTCAACCCTGACAAGCCAGGCATCGAGCAGGTGATGCACAGCTGACTGGGCTCTGGGGTTGCAGACCCTCAACCTGGGGTCCCCTGTGTCCCACTGCACTCCCCATGCCTCCCCACAAGGCCAGCTTGAATGGCAGTGTGTGATCTAAGAATCACATCAGGGAGCTGGCTCCCCCAGAAGCTGTCACTGACTATTGGTGGTGATATTATAAAGCATCCTAGCAGCCAAGGCTAGCAATAGATGGCATGCAGCTTCGGAGAGGCCAGGAAGGTGGACCCCCTTGAGCAGAGGAAATAGGTCGCTCAGACATCCTCACCCCTCTCTTCCTCAGGGTCGCCTGGAGCTGTGGGTGGATATGTTCCCCATGGACATGCCAGCTCCTGGGACGCCTCTGGATATCTCCCCCAGGAAACCCAAGAAGTGAGTTGCCTGAGATGGGCACTATCCCCTTACCCAACCTCATCCGCTTCCCAGGACAGCCTAGGCTCTCGCACGGGTGGAAACTAGCCTCCACTGGTCACTCTCTCCAGGGACTCAGGTTTCGGGGCGTGCCCGGACCACAGATGACCCGTGCCCCAGAGCCCTCCTGCACCCCAGTGGCGTCCACTCTGCCTGTGCTCACACAGTTCCCTCCCACACGCACTGCTAGAGTGCCTTTTCTGGACCACACTCACATTTCACCACACTTTCTTCCGGAGCTAAGCCGCCGCCTCACGTGACTAGGTGGTCTTGGCCCTGGAGATCAGTGTCCCTGCAGCTTGAACATCATCAGCTCTTGGGCCTTGTGTAACTCTCTGGATACACAAAGCCCCCATGTTGCCGTCTTCATTTTCCTCTTGCAAGATTTCTTTATTCATTATGTATGCAAACCAGAAGAGGGCGCCAGATCTCACTACAGATGGTTGTGAGCCACCATGTGGTTGCTGGGAATTGAACTCAGGACCTCAGGTAGAGCAGCCAGTGCTCTTAACCTCTGAGCCATCTCTCCAGCCCCCCATCTTCAATTTCTTAATTGATTTTATTTTCTGGAAATACTGGGGATTGAAGCCAGGGCCTCTTTTTCTTTTTTTGGTTTTTCGAGACAGGATTTCTCTGTATTGTTTTGGAGTCTGTCCTGGAACTCACTCTGTAGACCAGGCTGGCCTCGAACTCACAGAGATCTGCCTGCCTCTGTCTCCTCCCGAGCGCTGGGATTAAAGGCAGGTGCCACCAACACCCGGCCCTAACCCAGGGCCTCTTGAACCCTAGGCAAATACTCTACCACTGAGCTATAGCCCTAGCCCCTACTTCTTGAAGATCTTTAACCAGGGTTGGGGCCTGGATTTCCATCTTGCTCTGGCCACAGCAAATGGAGCAGCCAGCTCCACCTGAACAACCTCCAAGCCTGCAGTTGTTAGCCTTGCTATTCCAGGCTTGACCACAAGGGGGTAACCCAAACCAACAGATTGATACTCTGTTCCAGAGAGCCATATTCCCACCCACGCTTTAGTGAGTGACTCAACCTCTCTCTTAATAGTTAAAATGTAACTACCTCACTTGTAACTACAACTAAAACTCAAAGAGCAAGTCCTCTTTGATGACAAGGACATAAAGGAACCCAGGGTCCGAGGACTTCAAGTGCAGGCCACTGGGCTTAACTAGGAATGTCTTAGAAATAGGGCAGAGCCATGATTCCCCACACACACACACACACACAGACCCATGGACAGCACGTGCTTGCCACCTGCTTCACTGCAGGTGCCCCCGGGAGCCGGCACACCTCTCCGCATTCCTAGCTCTACTGCCCAAGAGTGTGCTTGGGTGTCTGCCCAAATCTGACTGCTTCTCCCCTATCTCAGCCTGTGCTAGACTAAGATACAGCCCACCAGGGCCCTACTGAACAGAAACCTCCCTCTAGTCTCCCCCACCCCCACCCCGCTCTCCCAGCCTACTCACGTCCCCAGAGCTTCTCTTGCCAACACATCGAGAGACCCCTGCCCTGACCCAGCCCCAGGACCTGGGACAAGCCCTACCCCAGGTTGCTGATGGGCCTCCCTGCTCCTGTTCAGGTACGAGCTGCGGGTCATCGTGTGGAACACAGATGAGGTGGTCCTAGAAGATGACGATTTCTTCACAGGAGAGAAGTCCAGTGACATTTTTGTGCGGGGGTGGGTGATGGTCACCGCCCTGGGAGATGCTGAGTTGGGCATTCCCACTTTCCTGGGAGAATGGATAAGGGGGCCCTGGAGTGGGGCGAGGCCCCAGGGGTGTGGCCGCAGAGTTGGAGCAGGTGTCTCCCAGCAGGTGGCTGAAGGGCCAGCAGGAGGACAAACAGGACACAGACGTCCACTACCACTCCCTCACTGGTGAAGGCAACTTTAACTGGCGTTACCTGTTCCCCTTCGACTACCTGGCTGCCGAAGAGAGGATTGTTATGTCTAAGAAGGAGTCTATGTTCTCCTGGGATGAGACGGAGTACAAGATCCCTGCACGGCTCACCTTGCAGATCTGGGATGCTGACCACTTCTCTGCTGACGACTTCCTGGGTACAGAGTAGAGGGAGGCCTAGGGCCCAGAACGGAGGGGCAGGGGTGGGCAGGCTGAGTCTGTGGCAGGGGGGCTCCACCCAGTCCTCAGAGCCAGAGAAACCACATGGGGATCTTGCCTCTCCAAAAATCTGCCCAGTTACTTCTCAGGGTCATAACTGGGGCAACAAGGAGCTCTGGGCGCACTAGGAGGCAGGATCAAAGCTGATGAAACCAGCAAGGATCCCTGAGGAGGGCAGGTTTCCCTGGGTCTCAGTTGCACCAAACTCTATCTGCATCTGCAAGCCTGGGTTTGGTGCGGCATCCTCAGTAGATGAACAACAGCCAGGATGAAGGCGTCAAATGCCTAGAGACACTCTAAGCTAAGAAGGGGCCCCAGCAAAACAGAGTAGGGGTGGAGAGAAGGAGGCAGGACAGACCCCGCTCACCCGAAACTGACTCTGATGTTGTCACAGGGGCCATTGAGCTGGACCTGAACCGGTTTCCAAGGGGCGCTAAGACAGCCAAGCAGTGTACCATGGAGATGGTCACTGGGGAGGTGGACGTGCCCCTGGTTTCCATCTTTAAACAGAAGCGCGTCAAAGGCTGGTGGCCCCTCCTGGCCCGCAATGAGAATGATGAGTTTGAGCTCACGGTGGGTACCACTTCCTGCTCGAGTGGACTGACCTACATGGGCCAGTCTGAGCCAGTCTGAGCCAGTCTGGGATACCGAAGGTCTAGCACCATGGCCTAGACAGTGGAACTCTTCTGTCCTTTCCTTCAGGGCAAGGTGGAGGCAGAGCTACACTTATTAACAGCAGAGGAGGCAGAGAAGAATCCCGTGGGCCTGGCCCGCAATGAACCTGACCCTCTAGAAAAACCCAAGTGAGTGACCTGCCTGTCTAGACCCACAGACACACAACGTTATAGGGGACAGAAAAGAGAGCCCAGACCCTTCTAGTCTTCTTGCTCCAACTCCCAAAGGACCATCCCCAGGAGAACCCACGCCTTCCTGCCTTCCTTCAACCCTAAAGCCTACCTCCTCCCTCTGAACCAAAGGAAGAGCTAGCTACAAAAGAAAGCAGTTCCTTTCCCAGGAAGCCTCTCCCCAGCAACCCCCCCGCCACCGCCACCTCCAGTCCAGCAGCAACATGGGTTCTCCCTAGTTTTTCACAAGGGCAAGCATTCCAACGGAGGCCAGACTTGGTGACCCGACAGGTGTCAGAAATGATACTGCTTGGTGCTGGTGGGCTTCTTCGTCAGTGGAGGTCTCTTGCCAAGCCTGTTCCCGCCCCCCACGTCCCCACCCCCGTCCTTTCTCCATGCTCCTCTGCTCTACCCAATGCTCCAGTCGGCCCGACACGAGCTTCATCTGGTTCTTGAACCCTCTCAAGTCTGCCCGCTACTTCCTGTGGCACACCTACCGCTGGCTGCTCCTCAAACTCCTTCTGCTGCTCCTCCTGTTGCTGCTGCTCGCCCTGTTTCTCTACTCTCTGCCTGGCTACCTAGCCAAGAAGATCCTGGGGGCCTGAGCCCTGCAGCTTCCTGTGTCTGGTACCTCTTCCTTCCGCCTCTGGACAAGGGCTGGTCAACGTGTGGGACACACTCAGGACACACATAGACACACTTACATATGTATACATATGGAACATACATAGGGAAGCACACACATGCAAAAAAACAGACACAAGACGAACACAAGCACATGTGTACAGCCACATAAACATGCATTGCAACTGACAAACTTTCAAAACCTAGTCTTAGTCTCGGAACCAGGAATGGCTACTTTATATTTTTACATTTTTGGGCCCAAGAGGTGAAACAGCCAGACCAAGGTCACCTGGCTGGTAGCACTGGGTCTCCAGCCTAGGTGCCAAGCTGCCAGCCCAGTATCCACCATCTACAGCAGCACTGTCCCCTGACTCTGCTCCATGGGCAGGGCCATACAGGGGCGGGGTTTGGCTAGGGTCAGCCAGCTTGTTCTGAAACAGTCCCTCCCTCCTTGTGTGAGAGGCCTCCCTGGGGACAGCTGGTTCCTGCCCCCAGGACGGTTGTCCCACCAGGGAGAACATTCAAGCTGACATTAGCTGAACACCACGTCCCTGCAGACTCAGGTTCGCCAGCACTTCCCCACTTCGCTGGTTTCCTGAGTCCAGGAAGTGGGAATTCCTATTAAACCATCTCATTGTGAATGAAGAAACCAAGGCTCACCAGTCTGACTTGCCCACAATAGCTAGGACTAGAAATGTAGGCACCCTGGACACATATCTCCACCCTGTTGCCCCACCTACAATGGGGGATGGATGGCCCACATCCTTTGAGAGATGGGCCAGTTGTTTGAAAAAGTTTGTCCAGAGTCTATGGAGAAGACTCACTGGTTCAGTGCTTGCTATATACGCAGGAAGACCTGAGTTCAAATCCCCAGCACTCACATAAAAAGCTAGGGCATGGCTTGCCTGGGGGCAGACACTGGAGGGTTTCTGGGGCTTATTGGCTGCCAGAGTGACCCGCTATGTCCTCTTGTGGCCTCCATGTGTGTACACAGTTGTGCCCACTGGCGCACACGTATATCCAAACAATGATTTTATATTGTGACATTTCATGGCGCCTGCTGATCTTGTGGCACAAGTTGCAGACAGTAGAGGTTGACAAGGGGACCTTAGCAAGGAAGCTCTGTAGAAGGCAGGACATGCTAGCATGGTAAGCAAGCTGGGGGGGGGGTTAGGCACATTATCTGTGGGCTTGTCCGAAAGGGGAAGTTTGAGGGCTAGGGATGTAGGTAGCTCAGTTGCCCAACATGCACAAAGCCTTGGGTTCAACATCCATCGCTACATAAACCATGGGTAGTGATGCAGGTCTGTAATCCCAGCCTCAATGGGCAGAGGCAGGCAGGCAAGTCAGAAGTCATCCATGGTTACATAGTGAGCACAAGGTCAGCCTAGGATAGCTGGGACCTTGTCCCAAAGAAAGGAAGGAAAGGAGGGAGGGAGGGAGGAAGGAAGGGAGGGAGGGAGGGAGGGAGAGAGGGAAGGAGGGAGGGAGGGAGGGAGGGAGGGAGGGAGGGAGGGAGGGAGGGAGGGAGGGAGGGAGGGAGGGAGGAGAGCATTCTGATTTCCTAGGACTATGGGAAGACAGGCGCCTGCAGGACGGTGTGCTGAGTACAAGACCTCAAGAACAACATGCTCGGCTGCAGTGCCACGGCCTCTGATTCAGTTCATGGCTGCAGTGCCACGGCCTCTGATTCAGTTCATGGCTGCAGTGCCATCAGGTTGAGGCTGGGTGGCAGGGCTGGGGCAGCAGAGGCCTCACGGACAGGCCTTAGCTTAGAAGACAGCTGGCGGTCTGATACTAGATATGGGCTCCACCCTGACTCTAGCACTCATGACCTGCAGAAGAGCTGAGAAATAGGAAGGAGCCCTGTGTGGGTGGCTCCTGCCTGCTGACAGCCCATCCCATCTTCTTCCCACCCTAGCCGGCCTGACACAGCCTTCGTCTGGTTCCTGAACCCGCTCAAGTCGATCAAGTACCTCATCTGCACCCGATACAAGTGGCTGATCATCAAGATCGTGCTGGCGCTGCTGGGACTGCTCATGCTGGCCCTCTTCCTCTACAGCCTCCCAGGCTACATGGTCAAGAAGCTCCTAGGGGCATAAGTGTCCCCTGCCCCGCCCCGCCCCAGGTCTCCCGCCCCGCCCCGCCCCAGCATCCCTCCACGGGCTGCTGCTCTTGCCTTCCCTCACCTGGACTCTCTCCCAACCCCCTGAGGAGCCCTCCCACCCCTGCCAGCGTTGAACAAGACACCTGCTTGCTGGGCCGTCATCCCACACCCAAACTGCTGCTTGCCTGGTCTTGCCCCAGTCTTGCCTGGGGTTTGGAGCATAGTTGGAATCAGTGGCATCCGAAAATAGACACCCTCTTGCCCCACATTCTATGATGTCACGCTCCTCGGCCCAGCTCCCAAAGTGGCAGGGGCCCAAACTTCCCTTGGACATTTCAAATCCAACAAAATCAACGAAGGAACATGGATGGGGCAGTGGTCGAAGCTTTGATAAGTAGGAACAGGTGGAAAGCATCAGAGATGCCAGCAGAAGCAACACACCGGGGTAGCCCAAACAAGGTCACAGGAGCCAGCTGCTCCTTCCCATGCTTTCCTCTTGGCTCCTCCTCCTTCCCACAGCCCCCTGGGCAGCCGCTTAGCCTGAGGCTTCACATCTCTTCCACTGCCCAGGTCCGCGTGTGCCAGCCAGTACACCTGCTGCAACAGTGAACCCAGTGTCCTGGTTGTCCTGAAGGCAGCCCTATCAAGCTTGATGGCAGCCACAGCCAGGAGTCTACACTATGAGCGCTGCCCCTTCTGTCTCCGCGAATCTGCTGGTTGCTTTTCCTTTCTTGAGTGTGATTTTTCTCTTAATAAAATAAATCAAACCCTGAGACCGAAGTGGAACATGGGGAAGATGGGTTTGTGGGGCGGTGGTACAGTCTTGTAGAGCAGCATTTAAGATGGGCATCAGGCACAGGGCTGCCAGCCCGGGCAGCTGATGGAAGAGCCTACCTCCATAGCTCAGAAGGCACGCCCTGGTGGACCCAGAGGCCCCAAAGCATGGATACCTTCCTTAGGCTTGGGGATAATATGAAGGCACATGGCTCCAAAGCCCCAGCATCCACCCACAGAAACCAGCATTTCCCGAAGAGCAGGGGGAACCCGGTGCTATTATTCTCACCGAATTCCGAGCCTAGGGACAAAACTCCCTCCTGCCATTCAGGGAAGGGACACCTGTCCATCTAGACTGGCCCTCCTTAAAGGCACTCAGCCTAAGCTTTCAAAGACTTTATTAGAACTGTGGGGAATTGTCACTGCCTTATTTTGGCAGGCAAAACAGTTCTGGAAAACCCAGCGTGGGCCCAGGCTCTCGGTTCTCGGCTGATGGGTACCGACTCTGACACCAGGCCTTGCAGAAACATCTCTATTTTGTGGGCATCCGGAAGCTTTGGGTTGGAGGAATCTGCAGTTCAGAATTTACCTGGAAATTAGAGGGTAAAGGTCATTTTATTGCATTCTGGGAGGACTCAAGTTGCAGGTGTTGGGTCTCCCACAGTACCAACCCCTGCAAGCATTGCTCCTCCAAAGCAGAGGCCTTGGGTCCCGGAGGATGCCAGGGCTTCCGGTTTGGCTTCAGGGAGTGACTTCAAGTAGCATTCTTCATCTTCCCCCACCCACCTCCGTAAGTCCCTCCCCATGCCCTCTGTGTTGTTTCCTCTGTCCATTCTCGCCCCTAGCCCTCATCTCCATCCTCTTGTACGTGGAAACAGAAGTCATATGTGTGAGCCCTGCCATGGGCCAAGAAGCCATCGTGAAGCCAAGACTCACTCCATCTATCTCCCAGGTGTGGCCTGGGACCTGAGACAGGGTTGGAGCCATAGATTTCCCTGTATGGGGACAAGGGACTGGAGAGTATCATGATCCTCTTGGCCTGGGACTCAGTGAAAGCATCACATCACATCCACAGAGTGTGCAGTCAGTTCACAAGGACTTTCCCTTCCTCTGGCTAGTCCATGGGAGCAAGTTGCAGTTATCATGCAGGGGATACCCCTGACAGCACAGAATCTGCTACCCAACTCATGGGGACCCTAATTAGTCATAGCCTAGGAAGCTGGTCTGGCAGAGGGGGAGAAGCTCAATGCACTTCGGAGCCTCACCAAATCTCCCAACTTGCTTCTCCTTGTGAACCAGGGAGGAAAGTTTCTGCCTAGCTCCCTGGCAGGTTGTTAAGGCTGAGTAATTATGGCCAGACATGGTGGAACACACCTTTGATCCCTGCACTCGGAAGGCAGAGGTAGATGGATCTCGGTGAGTTGGAAGCCAGCCTGGACTACAGAGAGAGTTCCAGGCCAGCCAGGGTTGCACAGAGACATGATTCTGAGCCAGAAAAGGTGCTCCCAGCCAAGCCTGACTTCCTAGTCTTATCCCTGTGACCCACATGGTGGAAGGAGAAAACTGATACCCAAAAGCTGTCCTCTGATCTCCACATGTGTGCCATGGCATACACACACACACACACACACACACACACACACACACACACACACACACACACAGTAAAAATAATAAGATTGATTCTATTCATGGGAGGCTGAGATGGATCAATTGTCATGAACTCAAGGCAAGCCTGAAGAGAAGAGAGAAGAGAAGGGCAGAGTGTGGGGCGGGGGGAGCAGATATAGATCAGTTTGTAGGCCACCTGCCTAACATGCACCAAAGCCCCAGGTTTGACCCCCATCACCACATATGCAGGGTGTGGTGGCTAATGCCTGTCATCCCAATTCCACAAGGTGAAAACAGGGTATCTGAACTGCAGGATCATCCTTGGCTAGGCTACATACAGAGTTTGAGGCCAGCCTAGGCTACTTGGCACATTGCCTCAAAAATTAAAACAAAATTAAAGACAAAAAACAAAAAAGCCATCACATAGAATGATACCAAAGTCATGACATCATGGCATTAAAGGGACTAGACAGGACTGCAGGCAATACCCATGGCCTTGCCAGCAACTGTCCCTTCCGGGGATATGGTTTTTTTTATCTTACTCTGGCCCCATGTCCTGCCACCCACCTTGGCCTGGAGATACTGCTGAAGCAAGGACTGCATCTCGGCATTCTGCTGCTCCAAAGAGTCATTCTCCATCAGCAGCTTGGCCCTCTGGGTCAACACCAGGCTGGGGTGGGCAGAGGAAATAGCTTAGACTGAGGCCAGCTCAGTCTTCTAACCTCTACTGATTAGAAGCCAGGCCCCCAGTGTCTCTGCTCTGCCTGCCAGTAGAGGCAGAGCTGGGACGTTTCCCTTTCTCCCAGGCTGGCAGGGAGAGACAAGGAGGGTGGGACCAGAGGCCCAGCCATCCTCTACCACGTACACCACCCTACCACCTCCACTGCCAGCACAGGAAGCACAAATGACTCGGGGCAGGATTGTCCATATAGAACCCCCCCTCCCCGCCAGAATTGTCCATATAGAAACCCCCCGCCAGGAGTGTCCATATAGAACACCTACTCCCCGCCAGGATTGTCCATACAGAACGACCCCTGCCAGGATTGTCAATATAGAACCACCCCTGCCAGGATTGTCCATATAGAACCCCCGCTCCCCGCCAGGATTATCCATACGGCACCCCGCTCCCCGCCAAGATTGTCCATATAGAACCCCTCCCGTCAGGATTGTCCATATAGAACACCCGCTGCCCGTCAGGATTGTCCATATAGAACACCCGCTGCCCGCCAGGATTGTCCATATAGAACCCACCCGATCCCCGCCAGGATTGTCCATATAGAACCCCCCCCCGCTCCCCGCCTGATTGTCCATATAGAACCCCCCAGTTCCCGCCAGGATAGTCCATATAGAACACCTGCTCCCCCCCAGAATAGCCCATAAAGAACCCCCCCGCTCCACGCCAGGATTGTGATACAGAACCCACGCTCCCAGCCAGGATTGTCTATATAAAACCCCCCAGCTGCCCACCAGGATTGTCCATATAGAACCCCCCCTGCTCCCTGTCAGGATTGTCCATATAGAACCCCCCTCCCCGCCAGGCTTGTCCATTTAGAACCCCCCAGCTGCCCACCAGGATTGTCCATAGAGAACCCCCCTCTCCGCCTGGATTGTCTATATAGAACCCCCCCCCGGTCACGGCCAGAATTGTCCATATAGAACCCCTACCGCTCCCCGACAGAATTGTTCACAAAGAACCCCCCCCGCTCCCCACCAGGATTGTCCATATAGAACCCCCCCTGCTCCCCGCCAGGATTGTCCATTTAGAACCCCCCAGCTGCCCACCAGGATTGTCCATAGAGAACCCCCCCGCTCCCCTCTAGGATTGTCCATATAGAACACCCCCACTCCCCGCCAGGATTGTCCATATAGAACCCCTGCTCCCCGCCAGGATTGTCCATGCAGAACCCCCCAGCTCCCCGTCTGTATTGTCCATATAGAACGACCGCGCTCCCCGCCAGGATTATCCATATAGAACCCCGCTCCCTTTCACAATTGTCCAAAAAGTACCCCCCATGCTCCAAGCCAGGATTGTCCATATAGAACCCCCCAGCCGGGATTTTCCATATAGAACCCCCCCGCTCCCCGCCAGGATTGTCCATATAGAACCCACACCGCTCCCCGCCAGGATTGTCCATATAGAACCACCCCTGCTCCCTACCAGGATTGTCCATATAGAACCCCCCTGCTACCCTCTAGGATTGTCCATATAGAACACCCCCACTCCCCGCCAGGATTGTCCATATAGAACCCCCGGGCCCCCGCCAGGATTGTCCATATACAACCCCCCCGTCCCCACCAGGCTTGTCCATACAGAACGCCCCCCGCTCCCCGCCAGTATTGTCCCTAGAGAACCCACCCCCGCTCCCCGCCAGAATTGTTCACAAAGAACCCCCTGCATCCCCGCTGGGATTGTCCATATAGAACCCCGCTCCCCACCAGTATTATCCATATAGAACACCCCCCCCCCGCTCCTTGCCAGGATTGTCCACATAGTACCCCGCTCCCTGCCAGGGTTGTCCATGTAGAAACCCCCTGCTACCCGCCAGGATAGTCCATATAGAAACCCCCGCTCCCCGCCAGGATTGTCCATACAACCCCCCCGCTCCCCAAAAGGATTGTCCATACAACCCCCCCGCTCCCCGCCAGGATTGTCCATACAACCCCCACCGCTCCCCGCCAGAATTGTCCATACAACCCCCGCCCCCGCTCCTCACCAGGATTGTCCATTTAGAACCGCACAGCTCCACCCCAGGATTGTCCATATAGAACCCCTCCCACGCCCCGCCAGGATTGTCCATATAGAACCCCCCCGCTCCCCGCCAGGATTGTCCATATAAAACCCCACAGCTCCATCCCAGGATTGTCGATATAGAACCCCCCAGGCCCCGCCAGGATTGGCCATATAGAAACCCCCATCCCCACCAGGATTGTCCATATAGAACCCCCCAGCTGCCCACCAGGATTGTCCATATAGAACCCCCCTCCCCGCCAGGCTTGTCCATATAGAACCCCCCCGCCAGAATTGTCCATATAGAACCCCCACCGCTCCCCGCCAGAATTGTTCACAAAGAAGCCCCCCCGCTCCGTGCCAGGATTGTCCATATAGAACCCTCCCCCTGCTCCCCGCCAGGATTGTCCATATAGAAACCCCCAGCTGCCCACCAGGATTGTCCATTTAAAACCGCCCCACCGCTCCCCGCCAGGATTGTCCATATAGAACCCCCACCACTCCCCGCCAGTATTGTTCACAAAGAACACCCCCCGCTAACCGCCAGGATTGTCCATATAGAACCCCCCCCGCTCCCCTCCAGGATTATCCATATAGAACCCCCACGACCCCCATCAGGATTGTCCATATAGAATCCCCCTGTCCCCGCCAGTATTGTCC